TTGGTCTTTTTTGAGACAGGATCTTGCTATGCAGTTCAGGTTGGCCTTGAGCTCACTTTGTAGCTCAGGCTGGTCTCGAACTTGAAACGATCCTCCTGCCTCAGCCTCCCAAGTGCTGGGATTACAGGCGTGTGCCACCATGCCCGGCTCTTTTCTTTTCTTGTTTCTTTCTCTTTTTCCTTTTCTTTTTCTTTTCCCCTCCCCTCTCCCTTTCTCTTCTTTTCTTTCCTTTCTTTTGAGACAGGGTCTTGCTATGTAGTTCAGGCTGGCCTTAAATTCACTATGTAGCCTAGGCTGGCCTTGAACTCACAGTGATCCTCCTGCCTCAGCCTCCCAAGTGCTGGGATTAGGGGCATGGACCACCATACCCAGATGGAGTGGTTTGTTTTTGTTTTTTTTTTTCCTCCGGTACCGGGAACCGAACTCACGACCTTGCGCTTGCCAGGCAGTCACTTTTGCCGCTGAGCTAAATCCCCAGCCCCCAGATGGAGTGTTTTAAAGAGAAATTTAACACTATCTTGCCTCTTAAATTAAGAATACAGCATAGAGGAACTGGAACTAGGATTCCTGCTTTTAAAAAGTAGAAGATAAGAGTTTCCTGCTGTTTAAAGAAAACTTTTTCACATTTATGTTGCCGGGAAATTGATTTGAAAAGTAAATTGGCTGTTACGGTATTAGCAAAAGGACATCTGACAGAGGGGAGGGTTTGCAGGAAGACCCTGGGTGCTGGCTCTGACCCAGTCATCCTACGAAGAGGGAGACCCCTATCTGCTTCAGCCTCCTTTGCCCCTGGGGTGGCTGCTGGTGAAGTCCAGCTAACCTGGCCACACAGCAGTCCCCGCAGAGGCCTGGCCGCCATCCACACCATGTTCTGCTGCCCCAGGGCTTTGTGCTCCTGGCTCCCTCCCTTCCTCCGTCCCGGCCCCTGCTTCCATGTGACAGCCCCTTGCACCGTGATGCCACCCTGCTGCATGCCCCACACCCTGCACATTTCTGTCCCTGGTGACAGGCTCCCTTGGTCGATTTACACCCAGGGGCACCAGAGCCTGGGCAGGTCCGAGCCTGGGCCTCCTGCCGTCCAGCTGGCTGCCCACTTGGTGGCCCTGACTTGAGCAGGGACGTTGACTAGGGACTAGGGAGCCTGGGGGCAGTGGCAGGTACAGGCGGGGGCATCCCTGTGTGCACGAGGGCATCCCTGTGACATGGTCCTATCCTGCCCACCTCTCCGGGGCCTCAGCAGGAAGGTTGGCCAGGTCACAGTGTGGGGAGGCACGCACTTAACCTGGCCCGGCCGACTCGTAATTGGCATGAACTGTCACCACAGGGATGCTGGGAAGGAGCAGGAGGAGTACGCTGGGGACGTTCAGGGCAGTTCCCTCAGCCTGATCAGCTTGGGTCACTGCTGTGCACATCAGGCTGACAGCTGCCTCAGTCTGTCCCTGCCTGCCAGTGACACGAGTGTCTTGGTGCCCTGCTATTGCACCTGGCCCTGAGTACTGAGGTCCCCTGGAGAAGCTGGAGGCTCACGAGAACCCCCCTTTTGTGTGTTGCAGACAAAGAAATACGCTGATGTGATCATCCCTCGCGGGGTCGACAACATGGGTAAGGAACCGCCCACTCCTGTCCCCTCCCAGCCTCAGCGAGGGCCGCTGCATCCCGTCTCGGTGATGGATCGGTGTTAGCCAGGGCACAGGTTCAGTGTGTACTTCACAGACGTATTAGAGTTGAGCATGGTCTCATACACCAGCAATCCCAACTACTTGGGAGGCTGAGGCAGGAGGATTGCAAGTCCTAGGCCAGCCTGGGCCACTTAGTGAGACTGTGTCTCAAAGTAAAAATTTAAAAGAGAGCTGGAGGTGTAGCTCAGTATTTGCCTAGCTTGTGTGAAGCCCTGGGTTCAGTACCCTGTGCTGCCAAAAAAAAGCGGGCCATGTTTAGAATTGTGGACAGGGCTGGTCACCGTAGCAGAAAGCCTTGTAACCAGGCTTGGCCACCGTGCCCCCAGGGAGAGGCTGGGCTGAGTGTCTTGTGCCGTTTCTGGGAGGTGGGGTTCCCGGGACACCTGCTGAGCTCCCGACACACAGCGCGGGGAGGGCGCAGGTCTGGGGCGGATGGGTGTGGGCAGAGCTGAGCGCCTCCTGCCTGTCCCCAGTCGCCATCAACCTGATAGTGCAGCACATCCAGGACATCCTCAACGGCGACCTCTGCAAGCGGCACCGGGGCGGGACCAACGGGCGCAACCACAAGAGGACCTTCCCCGAGCCAGGGGACCACCCCGGGGTGCTGGCCTCTGGCAAGCGGTCACACCTGGAGTCCAGCAGCAGACCCCACTGATCGCCCTGGGCAGGTGGCCCCACCAGGCCAGCCACTGGGCCTGGGGACACCCTGCCCTTGGAAGCACAGAGGCCACAGCCTCTGGCGGGTCCTGGTGGTGTTGGGACCAGGTATCTTCACGAGGAGGGTGCAGTCTGGGTCACGGAGGCAGCCTCCGGCTTCCCGCTTCCTTGGAAGAGGAGGTCGGCATCCCTGGGCCCCGGAAGCACCAGGGTGCGTGTGGGAAGCCTGTGGCGCCTGCTTCCTGCAGAAATGTGAATCTTGTACTTTGGGGAAAGTGGAAGCGGCCTGGCCACTGGCTGGCCTGGTGATTTTGGACAGCAAACGCACAGCAAGAGATCGGTTTCCCGTATGGTCTGTGCCTACAGGCACATCACCGAGACACGCTGAGACACACGTGTCCTGCTGTTTCACTCTGTCCCATAGCACAAGGCCGGCTGTGACCCGTAAGCCATGGTCCCTGCGCTGCTCCGGGCTGTGGCTCGGCCCACAAGCAAAGAGGCAGGAGTCCGGGGTGGCCGGCATTTCTGCCTCGAGCAGCCCACTCAGACGCGGGCCCCAGCCCAGGCTGCCCCTGTGGGCCCCTGCCAAGAGCCAGCTCACAGCCTTGCCACAGTCCTGCCTGTTGTCCAGGTTTTCGTCCATCCGTCCCGTGATGGCCCTCTTGAAGTGTCCTTTGCCGTTGGAGCTCTCTGTGGCAAACACCTGGGGCTTCTCACCGTGGCTATGCAGCCGCACTGGGGCTGCTCTGTGAGTCTTGGCACGGATGAGCCTAAATTAATAAACAATTCTACATACGAAAGCCAGTTTGTCCTTTTATTTACATTTTAAAAAGGCAAATGCAAGGCAACGCAATGTGTAGGTGATACAAGCTGCTGAAGGTGAAGATGCCGCTCGCCTGTGTCCCAGTGAAATCTCGGGGATTTCAAAAATTGCAGCAGCAGGGATCCTGTCAAGGGTGGGCCCGCCAGCCACTCCACGGAGGCCTGGCTGCAGGCAGGCGGGGCTCTGCTCCGGCCTGGTGCGTGTCCCGAACAAGGGCGGCCCGAGGACTCAGCCCCAGACTGGCAGCCGAGGGAGGCCCTGGGCCCACATGGGGTCCCCGAGCTGCTGCATCCCTGGCCTCTGTCTTAGGGCCTCGAGCTGGCTGCTAAACTCCAGCTGGGGGGCCTTGCAGGTCAAGGAGACGGGGCGGCATCCTCAGCTTCATGAGGTGCCTGTTGGAGACCCTTTCGGGAAGAGACCCAGGCACATCCCGGGGCTCCCGCACTCCGAAGGGGAACAGGTTTCTAAGGGACTGTGGCACCTGGTCCCACCCGCCCAGTGTGTCCTTACTCTAGGATTTTCGGATCAGGATGTCCCAGCTGTCTTTCCAGCGAAGGGCCAGGAGCTCTCCTGGGGACAGCGCTCTGTCCCCATAGGTGAGCGGGCGCAGCATGTTGGACACGTGGCAGGCGGCGGAATACCAGGCTATGACGAGAGCGCTGAAGACGCTGCGCTGCAGCCGGGTCCTGCGGGCAGCGGTGCTGAGGCGTGAGCACCGGCCCTGCCCTCCTGTCGGGCCGTGTCCTGCACAGGTGCTGACCGCTTCCCAGACCCTCAGGCCCTGGATGAGCTGACTTCGCCACTCGCCCGCCCACCACAGCCTCCAGTCCCTCTGTACCATGCCCGAGGCCACCCACAGGCTCCGCACGCCCTCTGCCCTGCCCCAGGCTCTCCGTGTGTGTCCGACATCCCGTAATTCCAAGCACCCCACAGCGCGGATCCCTGGCCTTGCTCTGGGGCCACCCGCCCCCTCCCGGTCCCCAGGCACAGGAGCCATTTGCCGTCAGCCTGAGCTCCCTGCCCGCTGCCGCTTCTGGGGGCCGCACCTGCACAGGTGGTCGGAGACGTGCTGCAGCACGGGCGGGAGCAGCAGGAGCTGGAAGGTGAGCGCGGGCAGGTAGTGGTAGAGGAAGAGCGTCTTCTCCATCAGGAAGAAGGGCAGGTAGTTCAGCGCCCAGCCGCCGGCGCACAGCGTCCCGGCCAGCGCCCAGCGCAGCCACATGTCTGTCGGGAGGGCAGCGCACCCCAAGTCACGCGCAGGATCCACCCCCAAAGCTTCCCACCCTTGGGAGTAGGCACGGGTGGGCGCCACACCAGGAGGCCTGACGGGCCACGCCTGTGACACGCCGGGCCCCTGTAGGGGCATCACTGAGCCCTGCCAGCCTCGAGGGGTGGAGCCAACCCAAGCCGGGGGAAGGAGGGGACTGGCTCCCAGAGGTGAGCAGAGACGGGGCTGGGGCCAGGCGGGGTCCTGGGGGTACCGCCCTGTCCTGGGTGGCCCTTTCTTTTCTAGTTCCACATGGCTTTGAGTGCGTCCCTGCTGGCGGCCCTGTGCTGTGTGGCCCCTCCAGTATAGACAGGCAATACATAGGGGGCCAGGAGCCCACCCGCGGCCCTCCCTGCTGCCTCTGCTACGTGCGACCCCGACACAGCCAGAGCCAGGCGCAGTCCCCTGGGGCGCAGGGCAGCGGACGCCTCTCTGCAGAATAGTTCCCGGGAAGGCTGGGCTCGGGGGTGGGGCAGGAGGGGCGGCGCTGACCCTCGGGGAGGTCATGGATGCCCCTGCGCCGTCTGAGCAGGTACCACAGGAAGAGCAGTGTGTAGGCGGCTGTGGCCAGGCTAGCCGAGGCCCAGATCACGATGTTCCCAAGCAGGTGGATCTGAGCCTGGGGGCAGGGGACAGGCATGGGGTTGGCAAGGTGCCTGCACATCGGCAGCGTGAGGGCACACGCTGCGGTCCAGCACCCTCCGGCCCCACCCGCCTAGCCGTGGCCCCAGGAGGCCCTTTCTGCACGAGTGCTGACATCGCAGCTCTGTCCACAACGCAGAGTACATGAGATCCCTCCTCTTTTCGGGGTGTGGGTAGTGCTGGGGATGCAACCCAGGCCCCCCACAGGCTAGGCCAGTGCTCTGCCACTGGGTGCACCTCCCAGCCCTTCTCATTTTTTGAGAGAACCTCACTAAATTGCCCAGGCTGGCCTCAAACTCGCAGTCCTCCTGCCTTGGCCTCCAGAGTAGCTGAGATAGCATGCACAGACATGCCTGGCTCAGGATTCATTAATGACAAGGCTACTCACGGAAAGAAAACCCCCGTCCACACCACACCCAAGGGGGAGCCTGGGCCTGGTTCCCCGGGCTCCAAGTCAGCTCCTGCGCCCTGCCGCGCCAGGCAGGGAGGCGGGGGGCACTTCCTGAGCCCACCATACAGTGACCTCAGGAGCCCAGCTGCGAAAGGCCGTGAGGACATGTCTGCCCTGTCACCCTGCCACGCCTGCCCTGTCACCCAGTCACACACGTGGCTTACGCTGGTCTGGGGGTGCAGCCAGTAGGCGATGTTGGTGTCCAGCATGACCCATTCCAGGGGCGTGGAGCTGTATTTGTGCTCCGCGTCTTCGCTCCTCAGCGTCAGCATCCTCCACTGGAACAGAGCACACAGCTTGCGGGGCGCGGGGGCGCGGGCAGGCGCGTAGAGCGCTGCTGAGCAGCAGCCCTGCTCCCAGCCTGCTCCTCCACGGCCAAGAGGCAGGACGCAGCAGCCCCCACGCCTCCATCGGCTGTGGGCCTCAGAGCTGCTGCCCCTGAGGTGCTGGGGCTCTGCTGGCTGCACACGGCCCACGTCACTGGACGGGGGCCTTAGGATACCCTAGCCGTGTCGCAACGTCAGGCTGATACAGAACCTCTTGTTCCTGACTGTTCCTGACTGTAAACCCACGGGGGGGGGGGGGGGACAGCAGTGTCACACGCGCCACTAGGATGACAGAGAGGCTCGAAACTGGTTCTGCCGCCACAACTGGGTAGACAGAGCACTTCCCCGGGCGGCCGCATCACCTGCAGTTCCGAGAATCTGGCCATGAAGCTGAGGTTCCTGCTGATGTCCACCTGCGTGGGTGTGTGCAGCTCCAGCTCCCTGTCCCTCTGCTCCTGGCCTGGTGGACAGACGGCCCCAAGAGCAGGAGCATGGCACGCTCAGGGCCTGGACAGAGCTGCTGCCCACAGCCCCCGGACCCCAAGCCCCCCATCGCACTGGGCCCTGCGGCCCTCAGCAAGCCCCGCCCAGCCAGGACCCCGGAGCCCCTGCCTGCCGTTCCAGCTCGCTCCCAAGGTGGGGCCCGGCACTCCAGCCCCACGCAGCGGGGATGGTGGCCATGTGCGCTCACTTGTGCCGTAGCGGTGCTCCTCCACGTTCCACGCCATGCTCTCATGGTGGCCCGGTGACAGCTTCTCGCCCACCACCTCGAGCTGCCGAAAGCCCCAGTCGGGGAGGTGCGCCCCGCTCAGCTGACCATGCCGAGGAGACAACGGGAGTGTTGGGGCACGGCTCCTGCTTGGCCGAGCCTCCCTTGGCGGGTCTGCGACCCTGGGCTGGGGGCGGGGCCCGGTCCCTCCCAGGGCCTTGTGTGCACCTTGAGCACGGCAGACGTGTTCAGATGCACAAAGCGCACAGTCGACAGGATGGTCTTCCAGGTGTCCTTGTCTGACTGCCGGTTCACGATGTCCTGCGGGGACAGGCTTGTCAGGCGGCGCCAGGGCAGGACACATGTGCAGCACAGAGGGACATGGGCCCAGAGGCCAGGGCTGCGCCCGGCAACAGTCACCTCGCAGACCCCCAGGGAGACCCCCAGTCCCTCTGCCTAGGGAGCTGCACGGCCCGGCGTGGCAAGCAGGAGACTGAAACACATTGGGAAGAAGGGACAAGCCAGAGGCCGGGGTGCGGCACACGCCTGCGGCCCCAGCACTCTAGGAGGCTGGGACAGGAGGGTCACAAGTTTAGGCCCAGCTTGAGCAATTCAGCAATTTAGTGAGACCGTGGTTCAAAAAAAAAGGGCACCTTGCGGGAGCTGGCTCAGCAGGAAGGCCCTGGGCCCAGTCCCCAAGGAAAGAGGAACTGCGGCGGCTGGTCTGACGCAGGGAGGAGCACACGGCTCTCCTTGTGGAAGGGCCTCCAGTGCCCCCGTGCCACCTCGGGACGGTGAGGCTGAGGCTGTATCTTGCACTCGGGTCCTTGGCTCACAGGGGTGGGAAGGCCCAGTACTGGGAACTTGCTGGTCTTTCCCAGGAAACCCAGTCCCTCAAGGGGAGCAGAGGCCCGGCCCTTGGAGGAGGGGTGACTGCACTCCTAGCCCCAGGGAAACCGTGATGGGGCGCCTGTGAGGCGCTGTCCTTGGTGCTGCGGACCTGGCCATGGAGGAGGGGGCAAGATGAACACCCAGAACTGCACACCCACCCACAGGGCCAAGCGGGGACCCCTGCTGCTCACTCAGGAGCCAGGGCCCCTCGGGATCCACGGAGCACACAGGAGGCAGTGTCTGCGCCCTGCGGAAACACCGCAGCCCGCTTCACGCACAGCCCTCTCGGACTGCCCACCCGGGGATCTCAGGACGCGGGAGGGGCAGGCGCGTGGGGCTCACCAGCCTCCAGAGGTTCTGGGCGGGCATGGAGATGTTGTAGTCAATGTAGCAGGACACCTCCTGGGCGTGCGGGCTCAGCGGGGCTGCGACATCGTGTCTGCAAGGCCGAGGCAGGTGTGAGGCTGGAGCGAGCTTCCTTAGGGTCAGGGGCCCCGCAGGTGACAGGGGACAGGGGACAGGGGACAAGGGGAGCAGGAGGAAGTGGGACCCAGGGCTACCCGGCCCCACTGCATCCCCGTGGGCACTCACGTGTTGAGGAGGCGTGTGGTCATGCCGTGGACCAGCTGGACCACGTCCCCGTGCTGCACAGGCCTGGGCGGGTTGCTCACCACCAGCTGGTGCCTGCAGCAAAGACAGTGGTGAGCTCGGTGCCCCCAGACCAGAGGGACAGCTCACCCAGAGGGGTAGGGCTGTGTTCTCCCATTGCACACAGTGATCTGCAGCAGCCCCCCTACACCTTGTATGAGGTGACTTCATAGAGAACCATGGAACATACATTTCATTTCACTTTTTCTTTTTTCCCTGAGTACTGTGGATGAAACCCAGAGCCTGGCGCAGGCAAAGCAAACTCTGGGTCACGGAACTTAATTCCAGCCTTTTCAACTTTTCACTCTGAGACAGGGTATCACTAAATTGCTAAGTTGCCCAGGATTGATTCAAACTTGAGATCCTCCTGCCTCAGCCTCCCAAGTAGCTGTGATCACAGGTGTGCACCACTGTGTCCAGCCGCTTAACATTTTTCTGGAACCTAACGCACCTTCCCAATGGCCAGGAGTGATTCCATTTGCTATCATCACCCTTGGTACCAACGCCGCAGTGACTAGTACCCACGGTTGGCGAGAACCCCTCCTCCAACAGCAACCTCTGTCTCCCACCCGCCCTACAGAAGTCCAGGCAGGGCCTAGGAAGTCTGAACAGCTGGACAGCGGCCACTGCCCTGCATGGCACCAAGGGACAAGGAGCAAGGGGCACTCCAATCAATCAGGGACCGTGAGACCATGGACAGCAGGAAGCCTGTGGAGATGGAGACAGAGGAGCAGGAGGAGGAGCCGCCGACTTCAGGTGCCCCAGAAGTCCTGACTGGCAGAGGCAGAAGGGTGCCGAGAGTGGGCCGAGCCCAGGCTGGGGTGCAACAGGAGCCCTCGTGTTGGGGGGCTGTGGACACTCAGGAAGCTCCAGGTGGGACAGCGGCCCCTGTGGAGGCCCCTCAGTGCTGCCGACTGAGCGGGCACATGAGTGGCACCCACCCGGCACAGAGAGGCGGGCGGCAGAGGGGGACCGAGTGCCCAGCCTGGGAGTGGGAAGAGGCCCCACACTGAGGCCGAGCAGGGTGGCGCCCCGTGTGGCTGGAGGGCCCTGTTTCTGTGAGGTACGCAGAGGGGTGCGGAAGGTCTGGGCCGCCCTGTGACTGCTGAGAGGAGACGTCAGGTGCCACTGAGGCCCTGGTGACCCAGCCTCAACCCTGCTTTCGGTGGTGCGGCAGGGGGACCCCAGGCCAGCACAGGGCGAGGGGATGATGCCAGCGGCACAGCCCAGGCGCAGTCTGGGAACCTCTGGCCGGCTGACGTGAGCTCAGCTGGGGACCCAGGGACCGCACTCACCTCCCAGGGTCCTTGATGACCCACCAGTTGTTGATGTCCTTGAAGGGGTAGCAGGTCACCTGCTGCTGGTGGGAGCTGCCCCGGCCGTTCTCATAGCTGCGAGGGGAGGCCGAAAGGAGCAGGGCCTGGGGGCAGCTGGCATATGCCAGGGGCCCCCACTCACGGGGAGTGCAGAGGACCCCAGCAGGGCTGCCTGGGCAGGTGTCGGGGGAAGGGGGCCCAGCAAAGACGGGGTCTGACTCTCACGGGGACAGGAGGACGCGCAGCGGGGGCCCTCAGACGGCCCCATGCTGCCTGCACAGGGAGACACGGGCACTGTGCACCAAGGCCCCAGACAGGCTCGCCGCAGGTGCCACCAGCTCGTGGCACCTGCAGCCCAAGAGCTCAGTTCCCACGGCCCCCAGACCCAGCTGCAGAAAGAAGCCGCTGGCACTGCGCGCTGACGGGGCTGTGCTTACATCATAGGGTAGGTGTTCTGGTGCGAGTGAAGCCAGCAGGGCAGGGGCTTGCCGAAGACATTCCTCAGGGTGACCTGAGAGCCGAAGGCCACCTCCAGGGGCTGGCCTTGGGTGATGCGGGCCAGTCCTCCCTGGGACAGGGGCAGAGAAAGAGTCACAGTCCTCAGCCCCCCTCTAGACAGCCACTCCCCAGCTGGGTGGCATGTGGGGCAGTGGCAGTTCTTTTTTGGGGGTACGGTATTGAGACAGGGTCCCACCACGTAGTTCAGACTGGCCTTGAACTCAAGCTGATCCTCCTGCCTCAGCCTCTGAGTCCTGGGATTACAGACATGCACCACCACACCCAGCTCCTATGGAAGTTCTTAAAACCTTGTACTAGGGGCTGGGGATGTAGCTCAGCGGCACAGCGCCTGCTTGGCAAGCTCAAGGTCGTGAGCTCAATTCCCGGCACCGGAAAAAAACAAAAAAGAAAAAGAAAAAAACAAAAAAACAAACCTCATACTATCACACTGCAGAGCCTGACCAGAGCTCTGACGAGTAACTGCTACTCAGGCCAGGCACCCAGCTAAACGCCCCCTACCGGACCGTCACTCACTTCCCACAGTCCGGAGAAAGGCAAATGATGCCAACCTCTAAGAGAGGAAGAGACTGAGGCGCATGGGACGTGCAGAGCCGCCACTGGCAGAAGCCAGGTGACAGCCAGGCCGAGGCCCACCCACTCCCGCCCGCTGGCTCCTCTAGGCCGAGGGTCCCTTACCCGAAATGCCTAGAACCAGGAGCGTTCGGATTTGGGATTTCTTTTAATTTGGGAAGATTTGCGTAGACCTTAACAGTTAATCATCCCTCATCTGAAAACCCAGACTCCCCAACACTCCAAAATCTAAAAGTGCGGGTCACGCCTGCACTCCGGGAGTTGCAGGTACTGGCGCGTTCTGGATTAGGGATCCTCCCTGTAGATGTCTGCGAGGTTTGTCTCAATGAACCCAGCTTGCATCTGTCTGAGCAGGAACCAGAAACCGCCCAGGGTGTGCAGGACCTCAGGATGTCCTCAAGCAACTCAGAGTGACAGTCAGACAGCCAGCCCTCAGCTCCTTCCGCACCGTGGGGACACTCAGAGCTCCTTGAGAAACACTATGTGGCTGCCTCTCCTCCTGAGTTCATGTTTTCTGTAATGCTCTCTCCATGCCGTGTTACAAAAAGCTTGGAGTCTGTGACGCACAAAAGGCTGCATCCTGACACCCCACCTCTTACCTCCAAGCTGGCCTGGAAGGCGCTTGACATGATTTGATCGTGGGGCCCGGAGCGGTAGAGCAGTGTCAAGTGCACGTAGAAGAACAGTAAATACAGGACAACTGGGGTGACCACCAGGGCCACCGCTCTGGCGAGCAGGTGGCAGAACACACAGACCTGCCGGGAGACAGGCAGACAGGTGGCCTTCTGCTCCCTGGAGAGCAGGTCCATCTCCAGACGCTGAGGCTCAGCGACAGTCACCGCCCTGGCAGGCGACACTGACAGGTCCGCTGACAGCTGACACTCCCTGGCCAGCTTCTGAAACCTTGAGGGAGTCTCTGCACCAAAACTCCTGGAGGACGGGTGCCTGGTGCCCCACACAGACCACACTAAGGGGACACTGACACTGACACCTACATTTGACAGAGTCCGGTCTCCGATCAGGTGCCAGGCATGGACGCCTGCGACGCCCAGCACGAGCAGGTAGGTGAAGACGCCCATGTATTTGACGCTGAAAAGACAGGAACGGTCAGGTGGGACGGGCAGGAGCACACCTCGAGGACAGCCCACAGCAGGCGACCTGACTCACCCCACGGCGCAGGCGCAGGCGACCCCTGTCAGCATCAGCCAGAACCACCAGCGCAGACAGAAAGGGCTGTGACACAGGTGCGACGGTTATCACTGTGTCCCCTGGCCGGGGAGGACACGTTTCTCAAGTCTCCCTGCGGTGCCCGGCTATCGGAGCACCAGGCACATTAAAAAGAATCCCCATCCCCCGGTGTTTCCGTTTTTTTTGAACCGGGAATCAAACTCTGGACCCTACGCTTGCCAGGCAGGCACCATGCTGCTGACCTACATCCCCAGCCCGCACCCCAGTGTTTCATTCTCAGCAGATTTTCTTTTCTTTTTTGGTGGTACTGGAGATCAGCCTTTTTTATGCTTTATTTTGAGACAGGGTGTTGCCAAGTCGCTAAGTTGTCCAGACTGAGCTCCAACTTGCAATCCTCCTGCCTCAGCCTCTCAGAGAGCTGGGATTGCAAGCACCAAGAATTTTTCTTAGGTCGGGTGAGGTGGCGCACGCCTGTAATCCCAGCACTTTGGAGGCTGAGGCAGGAGGATCGTTGCGATCCTGGGCTACAAAGTGAGCTCAAGGGCACCCTGAACTGAATAGTGAGACCCTATCTCAAAAAGACAAAAAAAAAAAAAAAGAATTTTTCTTTTTACGTCAAGAACATTTTCCTTAGTTGGTTAAAGTTACAGGAAATGAGGGTGCTATTTATGAAGTCATGAGCCAAAGGCCACTCCCCAAAATATAAAGTGGCCACAAGATATTCAGTAAGCAAGTCCTCAAAATAACAGGCATCAGAAGCCACCCAGAATGTGTTTTCTTAGGAACTCAGAAGGATACACTTCATACCTCTGTTTCTGGGAGTTGAAGAACTTCAGATAGGACAACACAGCCAAGAGATTAAAAAATATTAATGGTGACTCCAGCAGCATGAGCCTGGACTGGGTGATCAGGGCGTTCTCTGTCACAAAGATGAAACTACGTCAGTCTTACGGTGCACAGGAAATGCATGAAGATGAAAAGCATTCATAGGAAGAGGCAGCTGACCTGTACTCTCAGGGGACAGACCCGGGCCCCCTCCCAGGCCACGGAAGGCCACAGACCCTCATACCCCTCACTGAAAAGCTCCCCTTACTTCCACAAAGCCCACAGATCCCCTTTCGCAGACTTCCAGTCACCTCCGGGCTGCGTCTAACACCACTGCAGGCGGTAAATCAACAGTCATTCTGGCTTGTTTGGGGATGACAAGAAACCTGCAGCTTTGTACCGACGCAGGTAATTTGGGGGTCTTTCTGATCTACGGCCAGGCTGCACAGGCAGACCCCTCGGATTCGCAGCTGCCTGCACTTCACTAGGACAAGCCCAGCAGCCACCGTGTCCCAGAACGTGGCGTTGGGAAGGTGAGAACAGGCGGGCAGGCACAGCCGTGCTCTGGAGCCACCACGGCAACCTCATCGGTGTGAATGTGGACAAGTCGCTGCACTTTTCTGAGCCCTTCATTTAATTTTCAGAAGTAATATCAACCTTAGAGAGCTATTGTGAATGTTGCTTCTGTTTGTTTTTCAATTTTTTGAGACAGGGTCTTGCCATGTAACCCAGGCTGGCCTAGAACTCATGTCCATCCTCCTACCTCAGCCTCAAGAGTGCTGGGATAGCTAGGCAGGGTGCCCTACGCCTGTAATCCCAGCACTTCAGAGGCTGAGGCAAGAGGACTGCTGTAAGTTTGAGGCCAGCCTGGGCTACACAGTGAGGTCAAGGCCTGCTGGACTACGTAGTGGGACCCTGCCTAGAGAAAAAAAAAGGATGCGAGCCACCACACCCAATTTAGTCTAACTTTCCCATGATTGAACTTCATCTGTCCAAGAACCTGAGCTGAAAGAGGATCCATTAACCCTGGACATCTGGATTGGCCGGGACCTGGGAAGGGGTTGAGGGAGGGAACTGGCAGAGAGCGGGGGTGCGCATGCGCCCTGAGCTCAGTCTGGTACCCGCCCTTGTGGAGCTCCCCTTGTAGGATGGAAGTTCTGATAGTTTAGTGCTGCGCGTGGGAGTGCGCTCTTGCAGAGCCATGACCAGATCAACTGGATGTGCCCGCTTGTGCTGCGTGACCACTGACCCCCGAAGCTTCCTAGCCGACCCCTGGTAGCTCCCCCGGGCCGGCATTCTGGTCCTCCCTGCGGGGCTGCAAGGCAGGCCCGAGCTTACCGATGAGCAGGAGCAGGGCTGCACCCATGGCGGCACAGTGGGAGAAGCGCAGCTCCGACACAATCTGGTAGCCCATGGGCACCGACAGGGCCCCCGTGAGCGCCGGCAGCAGGCGCAAGGCCCACACAGGCACATTGCTGGTGTATTCTGGAAAGGCAAGCACAGAGACGCTGAGGGCCCGGAGGGCCACGCTACCAGCGAAGCACGGGAACCACAGAGCTTCAAACCAGGCTTTGCGTCTGTTGTAAGACAGGGTCTTGCTACGTTTTCCAGGCTGGCCACCACCTAGGCTCCAGTCATCCTCCCGCCTCAGCTTCCCAAGTAACTGGGGCTACAGGTGCATATTACTGTGTGCCTGTCTGCTTTGAAACTAGCTTTATACAGTCAAGGAACTGCTCTCATGAAACAGGAAAAATGACTAAAGATTCTAAGATTAATGCTTCTTTATATTACCCCACCTATTTCTAAAGGCACTGTGGGAACATGCAAAATGCATACATACAAAAGCTAAAGACAAACAAATGCCATGTGATACATGCACCAATAATTTTTTTTTTTTTTTTTGGTCTTTTTGAGACAGGGTCTTGCTATGTAGTTCAGTCCAGCCTTGAGCTCACTTTGTAGCCCAGGCTGGTCTCAAACTCGCAATGATCTTCTTGCCTCAGCCTCCCGAATGCTGGGATTACAGGCGTGCGCTACCACGCCCGGCTTGCACCAGTAATTATTACAAGTAAACAATAGGGCTTCTACCAGACTTTTCAGAAGTCTTTCAGTTGTATCTAAGTAATTTCCCAGACCTTGCACTCTGATTCATAAACAGCCATTGTTTGTTTGGTTGTTTTTTTTTTTTTTTTTTTTTTTGGTTTTTCTCCAGTACCAGGAACCGAACTCACGATCTTGCGCTTGCCAGGCAGGCGCTTTGCCGCTGAGCTAAATCCCCAGCCCCCATAAGCAGCCATTGTTAATGCCCACAGACCACTATATCTTGATTCTGTGTGCATATCCATAAGAAAATTTTAAATTATCTTTTACCTGCTCCAATTCTGTTCCATAAAAAGTTACCATCAAATCCGCCTAAATAACCTAAAACAGAAAATTAATTTGTGGAGTAATGTGACAAGCAACCAATATGGAGACAAGAGTCATCCCTGAGAAGGTTTAAATGTACTTGGGGGCCTGAGGGCAACAGCTACTTCCTTAAGAAAACCTACCTCCCAAAGCGAGGAGCATGTGGCCAAACGGTGGCCCGCTGTCGTCCAGAAAGAAGACCCGATTCATGTAAAAGGAGATGTACTGCCCATAGTAGACTTCATCAAAGCTGAAAAAGCCACACGCCTTCTATTCAACTAGAAATCTTAACTGCAAACCAAAGGTGTGGGGATCCGCACGTGTGTTTCTGAACTTCAGGTGAGTGAGCGGCAGTGGTCAGATCTTTCGCTCTAACTCCATCCTATCCCCAAATGTTAAGAAACACACATGGCATCACCATTCACAGGGACAGGGTGAATTCCAGGGTGGGAAATTCGCCAGGCTGGCTCTGACCCCCATATAGGTCCTGTTTTTCATTCTAGTTTTGTGTGTGAGTGGTACTAGGTATTGAGCCCAGAGCCTTCTTACTAAGCACATCTTTAGCCCTTTTTATTTTTTATTTTGAGACAGAGGTTTTGCTAACTTGCTAAACTGTGGAGGCTGAGTTCAAACTTGTGATTCTCCTGCCTCGGCCTCTCAGAGTGCTGATTACAGGTGTGTGCCTCCATCCCTGGATGGAATTTTTTCTTGGAGGGCGGTGCTGGGGATCAAACACAGGGCTTCACATGTTAAGCAAGTGCTCTACCACTGAGGTACAATCCCAGCACCGTATCTCCCTAGTTTTCTGACTTAGGTATATATGAACCATGGGACGAGCTTCTGAAACACCTTTTGGATGATGCTAATCCTATTGTCCCACACACCAGCCCAGGTCTGCGGCTAAAGATGCAATCAGACATGGTGATATAAAGAAATAGCTACAAGTGTGAAAGGAAGATATACAGGAACCAACTCCCAAAACATTTCTAGACAACCAGAGAAATCTGATGATAGCCAGGTATTGATGTCAATTTCTCAGGCACGGTGACACCGCTATGGTTAAGTAACTTTGGTTTCCTTTTAAAGCTATATGCTGAATTCTTTATAAATGAACTATAATGTGTAGGATTTGCTTCAACTAACCCACTGCAGGGAAGAGCTTGGCTAAGCTGATGGTTGTTGAAGCTGCATAAACTGATGGAGGGTAATTTACAGTTCTCTCTATTTTTGTATGTGTTTGATGTTTCCCATAATAAAATGTTAAAAAAGAACATATGTAGTCATTACAAAACCGCCCTTCAATAATAATAGCAGCAATTTCCCAGTATGACTCAAAACACGGTCTGGGCACTCTAAATAATTAAAACTAAGCTATCCACATCTACCCATTCTCTGCCTTCCATTTTATTGAGACAGGGCCTCACTATGTAGTTTAGGCTGGCCTGGGCCTCATTATGTAGCCCAGGTTGGCCTCGAACTCTTGATCCTCCTGCCGCTGCCTCCCAAGCGCTGGGATTACAGGCATGTGATACCACATCTGGCTTGCCCTCTAATTTTAAAATGGAAAGGCCAACTCTGATAACAAGATTTTCCTCTATTGCATCTCTTTCATGGGTCCAGTTTTTTCTGCGATTGAACCACAGGGCAAGACGTACAAGGTGTCTTCAACAGGTGTTGTCCGAGTTGTCCGACAAATACTTCTTGCCCTCACCGCCCCAAACCTCCCAAACTGAGAAGCCCAGGACTTTCCCAGTGACACTGTCTAAAAAGGCTCTTCCTCATACTGATCACAATCCTTTCCCCCATAATAGAGCTGTTCAGCTTACACTACAGCCCGTGGGTAGGAGAGACGCCACAGCCGGCTCAGCAGCCCCACTCCAGTCAGAGCCACAATATTTAAGTTGATGTCAGCGGTCACCACTACAGGGCGCTTCAAAAACCCCAACATCTTGTAGAGAAGCAAGCTCAGGAGGCCACCCTGAAAAGGGAAGAACTGTCATCAGTGAAGAGAGCCCACGGAAAGTACCCCAAGCAGCTTGCCTTCCAAAAGCACCAAGGGGGAAGCAGGGCATAGAGGGTTTCATGAGAAAGAAGGGAGCGTGTGCGTGCATCGCCATGGGAACGCGAGACGCCCCCCCCCCCCCAGGGCACAGGGAAGGGCGGCAAACCTGGGTGAGAATTCAGGAATGCCAGGACTGGGCATGCGCTATGACAGCGCATTCCACCAGCACCTGCTGGCCACCTCCTGGGAACAAGGCTACTGTCAAGGAAGGACGTGGCCTCTCCTGTCCTTCCCTAGAGTGACCACAAGCTACCTGGCCTTTGGGCAGCTCCTGGCGAGCCATGGCAGCCACTTACAGCCCATGGCCCCACCTGTCAGGACCTCAGAGCCTCATCTTCAAAACACATCTGCCCCAAGCGCTTCCTTCTCCGTCCCTGGACAGCATCAACCACTGGGATTCCCTTCTTTTATCCTTATTTATTATTTTACTTGTTCGATTTTTTTCTTGAGACAGGGTATCACTGTGTAGCCCAGGCTGGCCTCAAACTCGCGGGGATCCTCCTGCCCCAGCCTCCCGCGCGCCGGGCTGACAGGCGCGCACCACCACGCCAGGCTGGGGCTCCTCCTAATACCCCGCCCTCCCTTGAGCTCTGCCTCTCGGGGCTGCACCTGGCCTCCGGCGGTTTCCACTGTCCCCAAGTCTTCCCCCCTTCTCCTGGGAGGCCTCATGTATCCCGCTCTCTCCCGGGAGCCCCTGGTCCCCTCCGGTGCCATACGGGCCCCAGGGCCCTGTCTCCTTTCCCTCCAGAGCCCGTGGACCCTCGGCGTCCCGCACGAATGGACTTCTGAGGCCCGGAGAGGCTCCCGCCCCCGGCACCCACACACGTACTCGGGTTTCTCGGCCGGGAACCGCTCGGAGGAGGACCGTTGAGGGGAAAGCCACTCGGGACTCGGCACAGTCCCCTGCTCGACGCTCGACTCGCTCTGCCTGCGGAGCCTATGGGCGGTGGCGCGCGTGCGCACTGGACGTTTACAGCAGCGCGCGTGCGCACTGGAAGACCGGGATGGTGCGCGTGCGCGCCTAACGATGGTCTGCGCGTCAAACGGCTTTGAAGTGCGAGGTGAAAACTCTCCCGTCCGTAGTGTGTCGCTGCGCCGGTGTTCCTGGATTACGGCGTGTTCCGCGCACACGTGTGTCATTTGAAAGCGCAGTGGGCTCAACTCGTGTATGTAGTTCGCAGTCCTGCTGCCAGCATCGTGGTGGCCGAGGCAGGGCAGGGGCAGGTAAGCGCGCTCGCGGCGGCGGGGTGGCGGGGGTGGCGGGCGTGGCGGACGCACCCGCCCCTCCTTTCCCCGGGACCCGAGCGCCGCCGCCCGGTGTGGGGCTCACTGTTCAGTCCCTGGCGGTTCGTTCAGGCGGTCCGTCCCGGTACGCTTCGTTCTGCTGGGCTCGGGGAATCAGGCTTCTCCGCGGTTTTGTGGAGTTGCTTTCACAAGTTAGGCGGCCCCGCTCGAGATGACGCCGGTTAGGAAGGGAGTGAAGGCCGGGCGTGCTGACCGTCGCGCCTGTAATCCCACGACTGGGGAGGATGAGGCAGGCGGATCCCCTGGAGTTCAAGGCCAGGATCCTAGAGAAGGAAGGAGCTGGGGCCCCTTCGGGCGGATTTTGTTCTCTGGCACACAAGTGGCGGCTGCTTAGTGCCGCAGAGGCGCCATCCCGTGGACACTCAGGCTTCAGGGCCAGGCTCCTTGTAAAGGTCTAGGAACCGCTCGTCCAAGTGGCCACGGATCTGGGCGACGTGTGACTGTAGGAGCTGAGATGCCAGGCTGCTTTTTACATAGCCGTGGGCGCAGAACGAAACGTGTGGGGCTGGGCTTCCTCACGCTAACGGTGTTTAATTTTCTTACCTGCTTTGTGACCACTGTGCTGACTGCTACCAGACTGAATAAACGTGACCCCCTGAGGTGTAGACACTGTTACAGACCACATCTTATGCCGCGACTCAAAAGTGGTGGTGGCAGAAGCGAGCACTACTGCCTGAACCCAATCTAAGGTCCTCTGACCCTTCATCACCCAGTCCCGGATTGCCCTTTCCCCACCAAAAGTGCAGTATAATCCTCTCCTGCCCAACGCAAAGCTCTCCCAGGAGTGGCAAAGCACAGGTCACATGAAAGCACTGAGCAGCCTCCTCACCGGAAGCGGGGGGGACAGGTGCTGTGCACACCTGGGAGCCACCCACAGAGGCTGCTCGACGCTGCGGCTCCATGAAGATGCACCTGAACAGCAGTTTCCGTCCCTCTCCCCCCCAGCCGCGCTCCAAGGTATTCTGGCCAGGCCACACTGTTTGTTACAGGCCTGTAAAACAAACTCCTCTCCCTGTACGCCCCTCCTCATCAAATGGCTGGGAAGCAAGGGGCACACGACCTGAGAAAGCATGTTCAGCTTTATTTTTTTTTTTTTTACTTTTTTTATTTAAATAAGGAGAGTTCTTTCATATGGAAAGAGCTAGTACAATCACATATTTGAAAGGAGAAACAACAGGTACTGAACTGGAGGGAAGGGAGAGTGAGCGTCCAGCACAGCCGGGTGAATCCATGATTCCATTTCCCATCCGAGGTAAAGTTTCCCCAAACACATATAAACAAGCTGCACAGAACACCTTTAGCCATCGTCTGCCCTTTCAAATATCTGGTCTACATGAAAAGACAAAGAGAGGAAAGGCCAAAATGAAAACAAAAAGAAATAAACAAAAAACCCGCTCAAAAAACAAAACCCCCCGAAATCCTTTTTACTACACAAGGCATGAGGTCAAAAGCTTAGAGTACAGTGGAAGAGTGGAAGAATGCCCTCCACACAGAGCCTCAACAGGAATCTCCACTCGAGGCTTCCTGACATGCTGAAGACAGGGTGCTGCTGCCATCTCGGAGGCCACCCAGCTGGGGTGGACAACAGTGAATGGAAGGTCTTCCATGCCTTGACGATCACTAGCCAGACATTTGCTGGTGGTCCCGGTGGAAACACGGCTGGGTGACAGGGTCCGTCCCCAGCCTGGAGCCACTCTTGTCCAGATGACCTACCTGTCTTAGGTCACCTGCCTCATACTCAGAACTGGCTTTTTGGAAATCCGCATATCCCTTTCATCACAGAACAGGATAAAGCACACACACACACACCAGTATCCTTGGTTATCAAAGGCCATTTCCAACAGACCTCCTAGCCCAGGCTTGCTCTGCACGAAGCGTAAGGGGACGAGAGAGGTTTGAAAGGCAACATGCAGCTACTTGGCAGAGGAGAAGCCAGTGGGTGCTGGGGAGGGGCTTCGCCAGACCTGCCGTGCACTGCCTCAGCAACCGGTGCACGTTAACCTCCTGCACTCTGGGTGACGGTCAGCTACAAACCTTGCCACTGACCATCTGGAAGGCAGATCCAGAAGCCAAGAGGGCAACCGTGATGCTCAACAAGTTACTCCAGTATCCCTACAAGCAGCCGGCGTGACCAGTTTTGGAACTGAACCAACTTTTCTGGATGTGTAACGAAGTCCTCCTTTGTTTTCCCTCTTAAGGAACCCAGAACCGGAAGGGTTCTATGAATTCAGTTTGAAAACGATAATGGAAATAAAACCGGAAGTGTCAATTACAGAATCAGACCAAATGCAGCTGGCAGCAGTTTTCAGAGGGTGGATGTTGACCCTCAGACACCCCACACTTTTAATTTCACTCCTCTGAGCTGTCACCAGAGGACCAACACTACTGCAAAGTTACTGGTTGCCAAGCAACAGGCAGTACCACCAGTGACCTTGGCAAGCCTGCCAGCATCAGGCAATGACTGGAGTAGGCAGAGGTGAGAGGATTCTGCACTCCCCTGCCAACTGCCTCGGGAGTACAAAAGGAGCTGGGAGTCATCTGTTCCCGCCAAAGGCCACACAGCCTCCTGGCCAAAGCTTCTGCTTATGTATGCAATCTGAGGGTGGGGGTTGGAAACCAAAATAAGACCCCAAGTTCTATTACCATGAGCTTGGCTCTAAAACCACATGAAAGAGATATTGCACCATAAATCATCTCTGCACTAAGAACTGCGTTTAATCAGACCATGGAAGGGGTTGGGATGCTGGGGGCCTGGGGCCTTAGGCCTGTCCTCTGCCCCCAGGGTCCTTTTAAACCTGCATCTCAGCAGGGAGGAGCCCACAGCTGAGGTCACGTAGTGGCGAACGCACTGAACTTTACATGCAAATTCCTGGCCTTTCCTGCACAGAGTAATTCAGACAGTATATATAAATAGAGAAGTGGAACATTTACTTTTTTTCACCTAGACCTACAACATCAATACATATAAATAAATTCTAGTGTTTTTGTTTACTTAGGGAGAGAGGAGGAGATACAGGGTGCGAAGGGGCTGAGATCAGGTGACTTTTTTTTCCTCCAACCAGAAGTACTATCATTCTTAACCGTCAGCTCGCCTGAAGGGCACATCTAGCATTTGTAACAGCATCCAGGACTGTTCTGTTGGTTCGGACAAATCCCGTGCACCAGCATCACATGAACAGGTCTGGCTGTGTTTCTAAGGGGAACAGGGAGAGATGGCCACAGGCTCCAGCTGACCACGCTCATCCATTGGCTGCTAATGGAAGCAGGGAGGACAGAGGACTCATCACAGGGACAGTGACCAGACACTTGCACGGGGAGAAGGAGAGCGATGAGAGGCTTGGGCAGACCAGTGCTGGAGACTCCAAGTGGGCGGCCCTTCGAGAAGGGATGGAAGAGCAAAGGCTGATGGGATGGAGAAGAGACAAACTAGGAAGGTGTGAGGGTGGAGGTGAGAGAGGTGCCGAGTGCTAAAGATGAAGCAGGGAAACATCTTCCAATGAGACTGCCCTGTTCAGATGCCACTGGGACTGCACCACACTGTGCTGGGGGTGCAAGGTGACCTCCCCTCCCCTTACATTGACACAGAGAATGACTGAAAGCTGCTTCCGAGTCCCTAAGGTGCTTCCTTCCTCAGGCTCCACACTAGACACAGCTTCAGCAGCTGTCATATCCATGGTAAGAAGGGCAGACTGGGCACGGCCAAGCCCCTGCATGTACAGCAAGCTCTGCAAGCCAGGTCTCAGGGACACCAGCAGGGCGCACAGCAGCTCCCGCAGTCAGGTGGCGGGCGAGGGACTCTAAAAGCAGCTGAGGACCCAGAAGTTCTCCTGCACTTTTCTTGGAATGATGGAGTAGGGACGACTTCCTTCTGTTTCTGACTTTAAAACAAGCCCAGAGCACAGTGGCTCATACTAGCCTTCCATGGAGCAGCTCTGTAGACTCAACAGGCTGCCTTTTGTTGGGGGGTGTGGGGGTGCTGCTAGGCTTTTCTGGAACTACAGGCCCACCTCAGTTTGACCAGGGTCCCCCAACCCAGCCAGGACAGCACCCCATGACCCTGCTTCAGGAACCACATGCCTGTACTGCAGCTACAACCAAACTGATGTCCTTGAGTTCCTGTCACTGTGACTTAGTGATGTGCTGGGCAGGACACTGCAGGCTCCATGAAGAAGAGGAAAGGAAAGTTACAGGCCACAGAAGGCTGAGGAGAGGAAGTGGATGGAAACAGTGGCCCCCAAAGGAGGGGGTACAGGGCCCTGAAGCTCAGCGTGCCGATGGGACCTGTGGTGTGTCCGCCACTTGAGCCATTTTGGCCAATCTGGGAAGTGATGGGCTGTACCTCCACAATCAGGCACCCCACAGTCAGTGTGTCCACTGGCTTCAGCAGAGCCCAGGTCTGGAATTCCTGGAACTCTTACGTTACAGCGCCTGCCTTGAGGCCAGGCCTGGTACCCAACTGTGACACCACCTACCCACCGCTCTGCTCCCCTGCTGCCTCCAGCAGCAAGCACACCCCAGAGCGCTCACAACTGTGTCCTCCCTCAGTGACGCCAAAAGGTGATCAGCTTGGGGGAGCATGTTCTTAGGAGTTCTCTCTCAAGGTATCGCAGTTACGTGTCAAACAGGACGAGGTAAAAGGAGACCCTTAGGGACAGCAGAGGGGGGCTGGGGAGAGGGCAGCGAGGAACGTATAAAAGTTCAGCTATACAGACGTAGCTGGCATTTTGTTTTCCTTTCCCCTTTGTAAAAACCTTAGCTGCTTTTTAAAACAAAAAGCTTCAGGCTAAAATGACCCTGCTGCCAAATCACTGTGGCTGGGGGTGGGGCGGGCGGTAGGGCTGCGGTGCACAGAAGGCAACTCACTCCACAGTCACTGGGAAGGAGGGGCAGGAGGGAGGGAGTCGTTGCTCTTTTGTCTCGAAGCAAGCAGGTCAATGCCACGTTTCCACGGTGTGAGCTGGTTGACGATGGAGCTTTCGGGGGTGGAGGAGAGGAGTTGCTCTCGGTCCAGGCCAGGTGGACACTGGGTCCGGTGAGGTTCCCGAGTGGTGGCTGTCCTGTCCAGGCCAGATGGTGGCACTGTCCCTGTTGGGGTGAGGCAAGGCGGCGGCCGGGCAACATCAGGCTTTACTTTCCTCCACTTTGACTGCCCGAGGCTTGATCGCTCCGGTGCGCTTCACCTGGGAGGCGGCTGAGGGGGCCTCCTGCAACTTCACAGCTCCCAGGCTGGGCTTTTCATCCACTCGTTTGGCCTTTGGACAGATGAATGGGAAACAGAAAGTGACCCGAATGTAGAAACATCTGTTTAGAGACACAGCTCCCACCACTCCCTTCCTGCTCCCGAGTCACCAAGAAAACCTACCCCGAGTTGTCTGTCCCTTTGTTGAAGGATCAGACTGAGAAGTCACCCTTCTAGTAAGGAGGCTGGTGTCTGACTGGCCCGTCCCCTCCCTACAGGCATCGAGTGCAGTGATCTGGAGAGGCAGAGAGACACCAGGCCCTCCACAGAGAATTCAGCAATGATACATCCTAGGGCGGACACATTTCTGACCAGAACCTTTTCAAATCAGTGCACTCCAGGCCCTAAAGGCAAAAGAAAACCTTCTAGCAGTTTTCAAGTGCACCCCTCAACACAAGCCCTCAAGAGTCCCTGGCTGTCTGCAGAGGGGAGTGAGGCACTTAATTCTCCCAGACTTCTGACCGGGATTTAGCAACGCCCACCATGCAAAACCCTTTCCCAGGACCCTGGCTTGGCCTGGAGATTCCCCATCAAGGTTCCAACAGTCTGCAGCTCTGCATAGTGGAGGGTGTCGAAGAGCAGCCAGCACGGTTCAGCCCCTCACTCAGTACCCAGAACTCCGGGAGAAAGCTTTAGAAGCTCCTCCCACAGGCACTGGGTAGTGACCCCAGAGGAACCTGTAGCGAGGGTAAGATGAGAGCAACTGTCCTCCCACCCAGGTCCTGAGCTCTCATGCTTCACAGGAGGAAAGAGAATAGTGCCTGCAGGAAAAGACACTGAGAAATCCTCACTAGGAATCGGAGGAGCTTAATTCTCTCTCTGATCCCACCCAGCCACAACAGAGACAAGACACACCACTTACTAAAGCTAGCACGTGCACACACCCCAGCTTCTAGCACTAACCCACAGGCCTAACTGGGTCTCCCAGAGCGCCATTGCAGCCCCACACGGCTCGGGGGTCCACCTGCTGGCATCACCTCCTCTGAGGAACCAGTATCCTCCCTTCTCTGCAGGACAAGGAAGGGTCCAGATGCCCATCAAGAGGAGAAATGCCTTCGCCAGGAGGGGCTCGGGCAGCCAGCTCTAAGTGCTAGAGCGTGTCTTTATTAAAGGAGCACTCAATCGGTTGGACAATCCCTTCTCCTTTGGCGCTGGGAGACGGGCCTAAGTGTCCAGGGCTGCAGGGTCTGGAAAGCCATCTTCTACCTGTTGAACGTAGTGTCCCTGCACAGAGCCCATGTTAACTGCTGATCCAGAGGGCTTCCCACTGGGGCTAGCAGAGCTAGGCCTGAAAAAACCAAAGGCAGGGGTTGAGAATACACACGCGTCACCACAGAAACGGAGTCAAAGCCTAGCACACAGGAGGCACAAGGAAGGAAGGGCCCCCTGGCCAGAGGCACTCGCCCTGGGCTACTGGGAAGCTCAGACGGAAAAAACCAGACCTGAGACAGCCAAGAATGCAGAAAGGGGAGGAGTGGTTGTTGCCGTCAAAGTGGACAACCTAGGAGAGGCAAGGCCAAGGTCCTTCTCAGTGTGCCCCATATGACTCCTCATACCAGGGGCTGTAAGTAGGTGCTGCAGGAAAAGGTTCCGTGGTCCAGAAGCCTAACCAGTGCTGTACACAGCCCAACAGGAACTGCTGAGACCCCAAGCTAGCAGTGGCTGCTCCACCCTAAAAGCCCTCTCAGGCACAGTACCCGCCGCATCTGCCTGGGGACCCCTTGTGCAGGCTATGTCTCAACAGCCTGGTTTCTACAAATCTTCGGAAACACTGCTCTATAAAGTGACAAACCCTTCCCCTCCATGAAAACAAGCTGTTAGGTTTTCTAAATACATTCATCTGGCTGGGCGTGGTGGTGCACGCATGTAATCCCAGCACTTGGGAGGCTGAGGCAGGAGGATGGCTGTAAATTTGGGCTACAATATAGTGAGTTCAAGGCCAGCCTGAACTACATAGTAGGACCCTGCTCTAAATAAATAGATAAATAGATAAAATGAATAAATAAATAAATACTCTAGAACCCCCGCAGACAATACTCAAGTCCCTTAAATGGTGTGGTATTTACATATAACCTATACATATTGTCCTGTGTATTTGGAGGTGGGGGGAGTTGGGGATCAAAGCAGCAGAGCCTTATGCAGTCAGCCGCACTCCCAGCCCCATCTTGTACATTTTAGGTTACCTCAAGATTGCTTAGAAATACTACATAAAGAGCTATTACACTGGGTTGTTTCAGGAAGAAAATGGTTGGCCCTCCCCTAGAGTCTTTGGCCCCATAGCCGTGTCCTCCAGGAGGGAAGCTGCTGCCCCGCTACAGCTGTACACACAGAGGCAGCTTGTGGCACAAGCCTCTTCTCAGCAGCCTGCTCCTTGGGACAGGTCTGCAGCAGATGCTGCCTATGACAGCAGGGGGCTGGGGCCAACGCGAGCACTTGATCCCTCCCTGCCCTCATCGCCCAGGCCCCGCCCCACCCGGTGCTCTGGTCGCAGGCCTGCTGTGTAGCCCAGTGGTGGGTCACGGTAGGAACCAAATGTACCACACACAGCAGTGCAGCCCAGACAGGGGAGAAGAGGAAAAAGATGAAATGAGGAACAAAGAGTCAGGCTTTCTCTGGAAGTATGGGCAGGAAGTACAGAGCAGTGATATGGAGAAGCCCCAGCCTGACCACAGCGGGCAGAATGACCATCGTGACAACGTGTCACAGGCAGGGCCCTAACTGCAAAGCGTGTGTTGGCGGGGTGACTCGGCACCTAGGATGACAGTGTGAACTTCTCTTGCGCAGGGCGCTGCAGATTGTGTGCGTCTGTCCCACTCATTTGCTCGTGTGAGGGGAGGCCCAGGGATGTCCCACGTGCACAAGAGTGACATGTGCCCACCCACAGGGTCAAGGGCCACAGCTGCCTTCTCACCCAGCAGAGGGGGCCTGTGGGTCTCACCACGACCCAACAGAGCTGCCTCTGAATCAGGCTAATACACTTACGGGGGTGTAGACAGAGGAAACAAGCAGGCACAAGCATGTGGGACGGACAGCCTCCACCCCCAGCAACAGAAAGCTGTCCAGCAGGGCTGTTCTTTCCCCCTCATCTAGAAAGCTGTCCCAATCCAGAGCATCTTATTCCGATGATGAAAAACAAATCCAGTCTCTCCAGTCCCCACCTTCCTCCCACGGAGAACTAAAACACAAGCACACCCCAGGGACTTCTTGGTGACACACGGGGCCAACCACGAGGACCAGGCCTTGGAGCCAGGGGCTCCTGTGAGCCTCTAAGGGTCACATCTACAGTGAACTCAGCCCCAGCCCCTAGGGTGGTCTGTACCTGTAGGTCTGTGGCGATGGTATGGTGCCTCCTGTAGGAACATTCTGTTTACTGTCGGCAAAGTGGAAGCCTTTCAGCTCCATCTGAGAGGACTAAAGGAATCAAGAAGCAAACCATCACCTGATGGCCCCAGAGATGGCCCAGCCCTCATGTGCCCCAGGGGAGCCACCAGAGGATCTATAGTCCTTCAAACCCAGGCTCAAAAGAGGCTTTTTCTTAGAGGCAAGAACATCTAAACGTGTGTGGGTTTTTTGTTGTTCTTTTAAGACAGGATCTCCATGTAGTTGAGGCTGGCCATAACTTGTGATCCTCCTACCTTAACCTGAGTGCTGAGATTACAGGCATGCACCACCACACCCGGCTGTGCTTGTTTTTTAAGCAGGGCAGGAGAGCAAACTGAACAGCCATAGGTTATTGGCCATATCGTCAGCATTTACCCAGATGTCATCCATAGCAGAGCCACCTGGGCCCAGTCAGAAATACAGGCTCTGGGTACGCTCAGCCAGCGACTTGGGACCTCCACCTGTGATGGCAATATTCGGCTGAGGCTGTGGTCTCATGCACTTCCTTTCTGTTCTGCTGTCCCACCCACACCCAAGCTTGTTTTTGTTACAAGCTTACATAGACACTGAGGAGTCCCTGACTTGGAATGCTGAGGACTGCCTCACAGGGAAGCCGCGAGCTGGTGAGGCCAACACCCTGCAGCAACCAAAGCAGCTGGCACTTCCCACAGAGGGTGCTAGGTCCCTCCCCCGGACCGCAGGACGACGGGTCACCTTTACCTCTCTGCTGGTGTTCAGGACTGGTGGCTGGGACCCAGGTGGAGGAATCCTTCGGGGAGCCCCAACAGAGAGGCTCTGCCCCGCCGGCAGCTGAATGGACTGTGGCAGGATCAGTGGCTGCTGCCCAGAGCCGTACCGAGGCAGTGGCATGGTCAGCTGCTGGGCAACAGGACAGTGAGGAAGAGCAGCAGACATCGGGGAGAAAGCCCACGGCACACAGACACCGCACTTGCTAACCTCGCCTCTGCGCAGAGGGAAGCCACTGACAAGCACTGGACACAGCTGCAAGCTGCTCAGGGCATGCGTGTGCGTGTGCGTGTGTGTGTGTGGGTGTGTGTGTGGGTGGGTGCATGAGCTGCCTCGGCTGGGAAGGAAAGGATTTAAAGCAGCCAGGAAATAAGAATACCACCCCCAAATCAATAGCCATACAAAGTCCCAAAAGTTGCACAGGAAGTGTATCTCTGCCCTGAGTGAAAAACGGAAGTATGATCAGCCGTGTACTATTCTGCATTACTGGGCGTAGGAAACAAGCCCCAGCTGGAGCGGTCATTCTGAAGCACGGTACGCCAGCAGAACAGCGGGTGCCTGCAAGCCTAAGTCCAGAATGAGAAGGGTGGGCCACTTTGTGTCTCTCAGTCACTGTCCTCTTCATCTCCCTGCTGTTGAGTCCACAGTGAAGGGTCAGAAGGATCTATTGGAATTCCATCACTGAGACGTGTGGCACCACAAGCTTTGGCTTCTACTCCAGCTTGGAGCACAGCAGGCTAAGGACGAAGGTGATGGGGCTTCATGTGGCCTCACCAGAAGGACTGCTCTGGCTGCTGCTGTACTGCAGGCTGGAGGCCCTGGGGCCCAGGTGGGGGAGCACGGCGTGGTGTTGGGGCAGGGCCTAACAGGGTGCTACCTCCCATCTAAAGATAGAGCCCAGAGAACCCACTGAAGCTAACAGGTATAGGGAGGAGAAGAGGCACAGTTACTAGTAATGACAGACTAGACAAGTGCGGACAGACCAGATGGCACAGCACACAGGATAGGAGGCAGGACAGGGACGGAGCGGTCACAGGAAGGAGCCTGCTACTGGAAGGCAAGGGTGACTGACTCCTGACCTGTGGCAGCTGGGAGTCCAGCATCTGGGAGGCACCCAGCCCGGCAGCCTGGCCGAGCTGGCTCTCATAGACCAGGGCCTGGTTTCCGCTCATGGGCTGGTAGGGAGAGCCGGACTGGGGCTTCACCATCTCCAGGGGCTGCATGCCCGGGAACGCAGAATATGGAGACTTCAAGGCTGTGCCCCCAGACAGGATCATGGTGCTGGGTGGAGACAGGCTGGGGTGCATGTACACCTGAGACCTGCAAAAGCAGATGGGCACAGGATCAGATGGACGTGCCCTCCAGTGATCCCCAATGCCAGCAACCACTAGGATCCCAAGGGCTTGCTGGAATGCGGGTCCCTGCTCCCCCAGAGCACACTTAGGGGGCCTGGGTGGCCTGATGCTGCTGGTCTAGAGAAATCAATGGACATCCATGCTGTGGCACAGGAAGACATAATGATGCCAAAGCCCAGGGCCCTCAGTGCACTGCAGGAGGAGGGCAGGGGAGGCCAAGAGGAAGGCACACAGGGATGAACACTGTCCCCCACTCAGTTCTGGGCCCAAAGCTGCGGCAGCTGCAGGACAAAGCAGGGTCCGAAGCCCTGGCCGCACTCCAGTCTGCACGTGGGCTCACCTGAAGGGCTGCAAGGAGCTAAAGATCTCCTGGGACTGGGAGACGGGCAGCCCGCCCCTCAGCCCAAGCTGAGCCTGGGCCTGCAGAGACGTGTGGAGGGAAATCGGGATCTGCTGGGCAGCGGCGGCCTGTGAACAGAAGCCAGGTGCTAAATGCACGCCCTCCCGGGTTGCCCTGTTCCCAAGCCTCCATGCGGTGGGAGCTGGGTCACTGCCCCAGTGCACAGTTCAGAGTGCTGCCTGAGCTCCCCTGCTCCTGGGGTGAAGACAACAGTGAAAATTTGGGGGCAGCCCCAGGCCACTGTGTACCCCTACACTGCGATTCCATACAGTAGCAAGAAGGAATCCTGACTGCGTATCGGTGATGGCAAATTTCAGAAATAGGATGCTGCAGAAAGCACACATGCAGTATGAACCAGTTATAGGGCGATCAAGGCAATCTCACAAAGCTAAACGTGATAGTTCAGAGCGTCAACATTTTAAGACAGAGGTAAGGCTACAGCTCTGTCCAGACCCCAAATGTGCACTGGGAGTAAATCCTACCAGACAGCCCCTCCTTTGAGGGTATGGGCACGTGGGCGAGAACTGATCGGAAGACCTCGCAGCAGCTCTCAGAGCCTGCAAAGATCACCCCTTTGCAGTACAATCAGTAAGTGTGCCAATCCTGCACAAACCAAACACCCGCGTTTCTACAACTACCTCTTCCTAACGCGTCTGTGCTTGGGGGTCCAGGCCCTTCTCTCCATCAGAGGGAGACCTGATCGCCAAAGAAAACTCTTTCAGTTCATTTCCCAGCTATGACCTGGGAAGGCAGGCTCTGAGAGGGAAAAGTGTGCGAGGCCTATAATATTCAATCCATTCTTGTCTGCTTTATCCATTCAGCCAATACGCTCTGGCTGCAGCGTGTCTCGGGGAGGAATGCAGGAAGCAAGATGAGACTGGCCTGGGCCGCACACCCTCCCCCGCACCCCACCCTCACCTGCTGATAGCTCTGCTGCTGAGGTATGGTCTGAGGAACCAGCCGGGGCTGACTTGCGAACACATGGCCGTCCAGGTACAAAGGAGGGAGGTGGCTGCCTGGAAATGACCCAGAAAAGGCACAAAGAGTCAAGGTGGGCTGCTGCTGGCTGTGCCCTTAGTGAGCACTGTCCACCTTCCCCAGCGCACTCGGGGCTGGGGCAGGGTGAGTAGAGGTGCTCGGCTCTGTGCCGAAGTACACAGCGCCCCCCGCCCCCACCAGCCCTCAGCACATGTCCAGAGCCCCAGCCTTCGGGCAGGCTGTTTACTACGGGGAGGGCTGCCTGGTCCCTCAGTCACTGTCCTCCTCATCTCCCTGCTATTGAGTCCACAGAGGAGGGTCAGAAGGATCTATTGGAACCGCATCACTGAGACCTTGGCAGCTGGCCCTCAGAATCCCCACACACTCCTTTGGGGTACTGATATCCCCAAGGATGGTGACAAGAGCAAAACCAGCTACCACAGCTGGACGGCACCTTCTAGGTGAGTCCTAGCTTCATGGGTGTGGCCACCACATGCAACACTGGCATAGCCGCATTAGAGAAGCAAGCTGTGGCCCAGAGAGTGGCTCACTCCAGAGGTGGCACAGCCCTGGCACTAACTGGCTCTGACCCACGGCCACTGCCCTTACCATCAGTGGGAGGGCCGCGCTAGATCCACAGTTGGGAAGTGTGGGGTGTGCTCGTCTGCAGCACACAGGACTTAAAACAAGTGTGTCCTCCTACACATTCCACAAAGGCTTGGAGGTATACAGGACCAGGGCACGGTACCTGGCATCGAAGCAGAAGGCGCTACGGAGGCCACAGGCATTGGTGGCATGGACACTCCACCAAAGGAGCTGTAGTTCACTCCATTGGAGGCACCCACTGAGGATGGAGCCTGGATGCCAGAGCCCGCACCTCCCGGGGAGCTCTGCTCCGGCAAACTGGGGGAGTTCTCCCAAGCCTTGCGCGCAGACTCCATCTTCAGAGGAAAAGGGACGGAAGGATACAGATTAGGACCAGGTATGACAGGGAACCCTGGACTCCTCCCTCCACCTCTTCACCCAGGTCAGGGCCCGGTCACCTTCAGTGTGAGGTCAGCAGTGGGAAAAGACATCGGGGACAGACCGATAGCCCTCTGGATGTGATGATCCCGGCGGAGAATGGGAATGCTCTGTGTTAACCCTGCCTGCAGATCGGGAGATAGGAAACCATGGAACACACAGATGGAACCGAGGGAACAAGCTGGCCTGTCCAAATGTGTCTTCAGGCCTGGCTGCATGCACCCATGACCGTGACTGACGTCCCTCGGACGGATGCCCTCGTCCGTTTCCTCACGCAAATCCATGGACAGCCCTGCAGAACCCTTCACTCAGGGACAGTCATCCCCAAGGAACACAAAAGTAGACTGGTGCTGCCTGGCTCCAAGATGCCCAGGGGCAGGGAGAGAAAGTCTGCCCATCGCTCAGTGCCACAGGAAACTGACAAAGAAGTCGCTGGTCCACAGGCGGGAAATCCCATGTTAGACCCTCTGGCAGGGCCAGAGAGTGTGATGGTGACCCTGGGAAGTCTATAAAGAGAGGGCTGCCTGGTCTCTCAGTCACTGTCCTCTTCATCTCCCTGCTTTTGAGTCCACAGTGGAGGGTCAGAAGGATCTATTGGAACCACATCACTGAGACCTTGGCACTGGCCCTTGGTGACAAGGATGGTGACGTAAGGACAAAAACGCTAAAGGACACAGAAGTCGGAGAGTAGGGAGACTTGGTGAGCCCAGCCTTTTCAATGCATGTGAGCAGAGAACCTGTCCTCATGTGATGCCTATCAGCATTCCGTGGCATTAACATTCCCTGAACCTTTTGAGAAATGCTGTCTAGCAAGGCTCACTCATTTGGCAGATCTACCGAGCACCCCTCCACCAAGCGCTATGCAGAAATGTCACTGCACAGCCTGTGGCCCTAAGCAGGCTAGAGGGGCAGGGAGGTCTCCGGGGTCACTGTGTTCAGAGCCAGCCTATGGGGACCCTGGGAAGATGGGCATGCAGGGGTCTTCCCTGCTTTATCCCTCCCTGCTGCTGGCTATGAGAAGGCTGCACAGGTCTTGGCCAAGTCTGGTACAGAGACAGGAAACCAAAGAAAGCAACCATCCCAGACCTTAGGAATGACATCACCCCCACAAGGTCACAACGCCCAGGCATGGTTAGAAACAGTCGTGACTCCAATCCAGGTAGGTCTGAGCTGAGGGCAAACACATGCTGGGAGTAGGGGCGCAGCAGCGTGGCAGAGGAAGCGCAGACTTACATTACTAGCCAGGGCGTCCTGAAGTTTCACAACCGGATTCCCTGCAGGGCCAGAGGCAGAGCCAGGTGGCAAACTGAAATCAGAGTCCTGGAAAAAGGACACAGCCGCTGTAATCCTCCTGGCTCACCTCCCCCGCCAAGACACGTAACATGAGTGACCCCGACCAGCGCCTCCAACCCACGAAGCATCCACGAGCAGGCTGACCGCATGCCCTGTCTGGGCTGCCTGGGAGCCCGGCTGGTGTCAGTAAGGCTGCCCCTAAGGCCATCCAGTGGCACCTGCCCGGTCCCAAACTCCACGCCAACACTCCTCCCAGACAGTGCTCAGCTCCCAACTTACGTCTAAATAAGAGACAAACCTGTCTAAGCCCCCGCCTTCCCAAGTACCAAGGGGAAAAAAAGAATTAAAACAAAGGCTCACTTTTGGGTTAACTCCAAATTCAATGGGCGGCACCGGCAGCACAGAGTCCACGTGAATCTCTACCCCATTAACAGGCGGGACGACGGCCCCTTGCAGCCGCTCGGCCCCCTCCGAGCCCTTCCTGTTCTTCAGAGACCGCTCATTGCCGATGGGTCCTGGTCTGTGCTCCTTGCTCTGTCCCGAGCTCTGTTCGGTACCCTTGGTGGGAGAGCAGAGCGGCTGAGACACCAGCTCTAGCTTCCATGTGCCCCGGCCGCTGGGGAGGAACCCAAGACAACGGCCCCTTCTGCCCGGGCCCTGGCCACCGTGGGGGGAGCTTCAGGTTACCTTTTGCTCCGACTGCTTCTGGGCCTGCTCCTTGTGGCTGTCGGCCTTGGGTTCCGCCAGGCCTGGCCCGCTCATCTCCTCTGGCTTCAGAGTACCATACGGGGAGCTGCGCTGCGAGGAGGTCGCGGACGACTCCCGAGACTCGGCACTCAAGTCAACGCCACTATCTCCCTGGCTGCTCTTAAAACCCTGCTGTGCGGAGCACAAGATGGGTTAGAGCCTTGTCCCGGACTCCAAACCGCAGGCCCCGTGCGGTGAGACTGCGTGCGGCACTGCCACATCTCCCCCAGCCACGTGCCCTCTCATCCGGCCCGGGTCCTGGCCTGCCCGCCACATCCAACGGTGTGTGCAGCCGCGTGAATGCGCCTGCCCTGCCCACGCGCCTGACCCCTAGACACCAAGTAGTCCTTGGGACCGCCTAGCTCACTCCGCTCAAACCAGCCCAGGGAGCGCTGCCCTCCTTCTGGCACCCTACCAGGCTGGGGGTCTCTCTTGTCATCCCTTCTCCCCCACTCCCGCAGGGACCATACACGGGCCAGAGACAAGGCTGACAGCGGAGTGGGCCAGGGCCTGTGGAGGGGCTTCTGGGGCAGGCCCAGCACGGCCCGGGGCATGGTGGCTGGGCGATGGGGCGCACACTACCTCAGTGGAGCTGGGTTCGGTGCCGCTGAAGGCGGAGACAGCTTTCCTCCAGGAGTCGCTGGCGGCAGGCTGCACAGGGAGGGCTGCCGAGACGGGAAGACAGAGTGCGTCAGGGGGACGAGCAGTGTGGGCACGAGTTTTGGCTCAGAGAAGTAAGCTCGTAGCAGACCACTTCCCCTAACCGCCTGTGTGCCATCAGTGACACCTCGTGAACAGCTCTGACACACGGGAGCTACTCTGACAGCTTCTTCACCCAACTTCCAGACATCCCGTGTTTCTTTGGGTTTTTCGCTTCGTTTTCTTTCTGAGGCAGGATCTTGCTTCTGTAGCCCAGGCTGGCATCAAACTCCCGGGCGATCCTGCCTCAGCCTCTGGAGTGCTAGGATTTAAGGCATGTGGCATCATGCCTGGCCCTATGTTTCCATGAAGGTGCTTCTCAGCATTTTGTGGACTTCATGCTGTCCTTAAATGCACACCTTTGCATTCTGCATCACTACTTCTGCCGTACGCTTTCCCTCACGTAAGCCAACTATCTGGCAGCTTCTATAAAATCCCTGAAAGGTCCCAGCAGGTGCTGCTGAGAAGTTTTTAAGCTCAAGAATCCCACAAAAGCATGGATCCTAGGTCCAGAAAATATATCTGTGCAGAAACATTACAGATGTTTAAGATCACGGGTCCTCTGACCCCAGGTGTGCCACCGAGAGAGCAGAATCCAAAGGAAAACACCTGGCAGGAGGAGACGATGCCTTCAGTCCCACGGCCAGCCGCTCAGCCAGTCGGCTGGTGGCACTTTGATACCGTGCTACTTATCACTTACATAACCAAGCTGAACGGCACCATGGTTCATCAAGAGATGAATGCTCACTCCTTCAAAGTCAAACGCTGCTAACGTTATTGTGAAAGGTGTTAGAACTAACGTTTTCACCCAGAGCACAAAGACAGGCTGTGTGGGGACAATGAAAAATCAAGACCTGGCATCCGGGATCTTAGGTGTTTGTCCTATGGTGCGAAGCTGGGTCTCTTCTTCTTCTTCTTTTTTTTTTTTTTTTGGTACTGGGAATCGAACTCATGACCTCAGGCTTGCCAGGCAAGCAATTATGCTGCTGAGCTATATCCCTGGCTGGGTCTCTTCTCAATGGCCTCTCCAAGTTCTACCTCTGAGCACTCACGGGTCCTTGTTTATTTTATTCATTTATTCACTTATTTTTGGTTTTTTTGGGAGGAGGTCTCGCTATGCAGTTCAGGCTGGCCTTGAACTATGTAGCTTAGCCTGGCTTCAAACTTGTGGCAGTCCTCCTGCCTCAGCCTCCCGAGTGCTGGGATGACAGGAGTGTGCCACCACGCCCAGCTCATATGTCCTTGTTTTATTTATCCATGGGCCTTGTGGTCTAACAGTGCACAGCTTTGCTCAAAGTAGGCATTCAAGGAGATTATGTGTGCCAGGGGTGATGGCGCATACCTGTAATCCCAGAACTCACTCCGCTGGGCACAGTGCCACGTCTGTAATCCCAACACTCAGGAGGCAGAGACAGGAGGGTTACAAATTCGAGGCCACCTCAGACCTGGTGGGCTAGGCTGTAATCCTAGCACTCCAGCTAGCTGAGGCAGGATGATTACAAGTTCAAGAACAACCTAGACCTGGTAGTTCAGGCTTGTAATCCTAGCACTTTGGGAGGCTGAGGCTGAAGGTTTGCAAATGCAAGCCCAGCCTGAAAAAATTTTGCATCTTGGTGAAACCCCGTCTCAAAGAGGTGTTTGTTGGGGGATATGTAGCGCAATCTCCAGCACAAAAAAACAAAACAACCCAAACAAAACAAAACAAAGTTCAAGACCCAGTCTCAAAAAAGTCTGGGGATGTGCTTACCAACACCCTGTACTGCCCCCCTCCAACCAACAAAGGCGAGGAGGGGGGAAAAATCTGCTTGATCAGGTCAACTTTGTGTTTTTAAGTGAGAAGTTACTAGAAACACAGTGAGCAGGAAATTCTTTCTTTTTAAAAAATTGGTGGCACACACCTGTAATCCAGTACTCTAGGAGGCTGAGGCAGAAGGGTATCAAGTTCAAGCCCAGCATGGGCATCTTAGTGAGACCCTATCTCAAAAACAGAAAAAGGACTGAGGATGTAGCTCCATTTGGAAGGCCCTGGCTTCAATCCCTAGTACCAACAAAAAACTAAACATTTCAGGGAAACGAAGTTCCCCGAAAGAAAGGTGCATCTTCCTCTGGTCTCCAGACTTCCCGTCCATGAGGGCCTTAGGGAGGTGCCTACAAGACCGTTTTCCTATGTCAAGGGAAGGCACCCTAACCAGCCTCCTGGAAGGCCATCTACTCTTCTTCCACTTCCACAAGAGAAGTAAAGTGAATTTAACACACACGGCATAGAAAGTAGAGCAGTCACAGCCGAACAGGCTGGTCCTCTTCAGACTGCTGGGCAAGCAGGAGGCTCAGCTCTTTCCCCATATTGTAGGCAAGGAAAACTACCGATTTGGGGCTGCAGTGCTAAGACAGTGTTCAACACTAGCTTGGCAGAGGCGCCTGGAAATAGGTCATGTTTCCCCTGTATTTATGTCTCAAAAGCAGGATGCCCCAAGGAGGAAGCCCTGGCCTGCTGGGCCCCGGCACCCACTCTCACCCTGGCTGCTGCTCTCCCAGATCTCGGTACCCAGGCTGCTGCCAGGCAAGGCCACGTCCCCTTGCTCCAGGCACAGGTTGTTCTGCTTTTTAGCAAATCGAGGAGGAATACGAGAAGAAAGGCCTCGACCTTTGACTGGCACCTAAGGAAAGAAGAGGGAGATACATTCTAGCCAAAGACTGCTGACGCTAAACCACTACAATAGTGACACTAAACCACTATCTAAAATCCCTCAAGATACCTAACGCCCGTTTCCCAGGATGTCAGCCGTATGGTGTGCTGCCAGGCCACCACGCTGCCCCAGGAGCGCTGGCCGCCAATAGAGGTGACGGTGTGCAGGGTCCCTGCCCTCAAAAGTCACAGGAAGATGAACCTTACCCTGCCTACCGCGGGACAGAGCAAGGAGGTGGACAGGTAGGGTGACCGAGCCTGGGCAAGTCAGCCTTTGTGACCCTGTCGCCAACTCTGTAGAACAGCAGGCACTGGGAGGTCACACGTCTTTAAAAGATGCTCCTTCCCTGCACCCCTCTACCCTCCCCGCACCCCTCTACCCTCGCCGCCCCTGGCCCACAGTGCTCACCTGTGCGGCCTGCTCCTTCTTTCTCCTCTCTTCCTCCAGCAGGCGGCGCTGTTTCTTAGTCAGGACCTCGATGAAGCCTTCTCCTACCATGGAGCCCACCTCGCTCTCCTCCCCAGGGCTGGCCCCACAGTTGTCAATGATGGCATCTGAAGCAAGGGTCCACGAAAAGGCACAGAGGTCCATTCAGAAAGCCGGAGTCACCCAGCGAGACAGCCACCTGCTCTCTACAGACAGGCTTGGTTCACAAGGCCAGGCAGCGCCTGGCAGACACTGTCGTGCACCAGGAACCCCAGAAATACGGCGGTGGCCATGCACCTTCTCAAAGCTTTCTGACCTCCCGCAGAGGGGCTCGACCAAGTGCCTGAGCAGTGCTCAGCCTTTGTGCAGCTGGGGACTCTGAACCTAGCTGTGCTCCCACGAGCTGTTCAACCTCCGGTACCCCAAGATCTCCGGGCCTCACGCTCCCCCTCTTTATACCTAGGCTGTCTCGGGGACTCCAAGAGGCAGTAAGCACCAGCAGGCAGGGACCTGAGCCTCGTGTCACCACTGTAGCCCCAGGATCTAGCCTAACGCAGAAGCTGCAGTCTGCGCCCCCCACAGGGACTTCCAGGGCCTCTGGTCCTGTTGAACTCCACAGACCTGGGATGTGCCTGTGTGTGTGTGTGTGGGTGTGTGTGTGTGCGTGTGTGCGTGTGTGCGTGTGTGCGCGTGTGTGTGCGCGCGCGTGTGCGTGTGTGCGCGCGCGCGCGCGCGTGCTCGAACTCACTTCCGTAACTCAGGTCAAACTGCTTCCGGACTTCGTCCTGCTCACCAGCCCTCTGAGCAGCCAACACAGCCTCTTTTTCTGTCCTCTTACTGGTGGCCTCAGGACTATCAGGGCTGGCATAGGGCGAGTGGTTGCTACCACTGCTGCAGCCGCCAAGACCTCCGGCAAGGGGCTCGTCTGGGGACCTACGAGGGAAAGAGGATCCAGTGAGCTTAGAAACGCCCGAAGACTAAGAGGAAACCAGGGAAGAGCCTCACACGCGCACACAGCCCACACACAGTCGCAGCAGCTGACCCAGCGCCAGTTCTCGCCGGGCCCTGGGGGACCACTTACCGCCACTGGCCTGGCGTGAGCCATGTGCAGAAGCTACCCCAGCCGGCACGGCCCAGGCGGAGCTCCCCAGCGCCTCCGTTCTCTCCTGTCCCCTCAGCAGGGGGAGAGAAGGAAGGGCGATGCCAACCTCTGCTCTCGCCCAGGAGAACCTCGCCCTACTGCGCGGCCCTGGAGACCCAGGCTGGACTGTGAGAAGAATCAGTGCCTTCCCAGGGCTCCCCCTTGGGGAAAAAACATGCCCAGGTTCAGTGTCCTGACTCGTAAGCAGGGAAAAAGCAGCTATCTTAGGAGAGCTCCCAGGGCAGGGAAGGCTGCAGCAGCCCCCACGTTCCCCATCTGGTCACAGTCACCAAGCCCACGTGTCCCCACACAGGAGCCTGTGGCCAGCGAGGCTGCGCCATCCGCAGGCCGTCCAGCCAGTTCTGGAGAAGAGGGGATCACTGGCCGCACCAGCTGCTCCCCTCTGCGCTTGGAGGCTCTGACCATGCCAAGGAGGGAGGTGACACGCAGAACCTGGGGAAGAGCCACTTCCAGGCAGCTGGGGGCCTGTGAGGCCCCGCCGGGTCAGTGCCTGGCCAGTTCGGATGCAGAAAAATCTGGTAGATCAGCCGCTGCTTGCCAGGCACCACCCACAGGCGACAAGGACACACTGAGGCTGAGCCCTCAGGACAGGGCCGGGGCAGAGGCCGAGAGGGACCCCTGGGAGGGGCGGGGACTGGGGACACCTCTGGTTTAGTTTGTCAGGCCACATGACAATGACACACCACGAGAGAAGCGACAAGCGATGCAGGGGCAGTGATGGAGACGCACACACAGCGGCCGGCGGCGTGGGGCCCGGCGGGGCGTGCATACATGGACTCGATGCCGCTGTGCAACAGGACAATGACAACAAAGGACCTGGAATGGCGTTTGCTGTTACCTTTTGGCTTTCAAGGGTGTCCCACTCTGCTGGCTGTCATAACGGGGGGACGTCTCACCACCACCTGGCCTAACCGGCTTCTCCCCAAACCCTCCCGGCTCCAGCTTGCGGCTCTGTCTGTCCACCAGGGGCCTCTGGCTGGAGAAGCTCCTCTTGGCCAGCTCCTTCTTCTCCCCAGCAGCGGCCCCGGACAGGCCAGCGTCCCCCTGTGGGTGGGGCTCGGGCCCGGGGGCCTCGCGCCGCTCCCGGCGCTCGCTGAAGTCGCTGCTCTCTGAGGCCGTCTCCCACTCTTCGTTGGCGTGATCGGAGGAGTTCTGGTAGGACAGCTCAGGGGACCGGCGGCCCCCAGCGCCACCCTTGTCCCCGGGACAGAATTTGGACCTGCCTGGCCACTGCCCCGACAGCAGGTGGGGCTCCTCCTCGGGGCCCCACAGGCCCAAGGACTCGCGCTCCTGCCGCAGGCGCCGGAAGCGGGGCGGCTTGTCCTGGCGCGGGGGGCGCCTCCTCCGGAAAGGCCGGTTCTCCGCGCCCTCGGGGTCTGCCGCGTGGTCGTCCTGGAAAAAGGCCCTCTTCTCCTCCAGGCGGCTGTCCTCAAAGGCTCTGCCGCCAAACGAGTCAGCGTGTCGGTAGGAGTCTGGGATGTAGTCTCGGTCTGTGGCTCTCCGGGCCGGGCCGTATTCCTGCCAGGAGCCGCCTGGGCTCCTGCTCTGCCAGTGGGCCGGCTCCTTGGCCACGAGGGTCCTGCGCCCGTAGCCACAGTTGCTGAGCCGGGGTGGGAGCGCTCGCCCGAAGGCCCGCGGGCCGCGGCTCCTGGCATCCAGGCCGCCCTGCTCGTCAGAGTAGGTCTTGCTGGAGCGCCAGGAGTCTTTCTTCAGGGCGCCCTCGTCCCTCTCCAGCAGTGAGCCCTCGGGCCCGCTCTCGGTGCCCCTCTGCCGGCGCCGCTTGGGGAGCTCCTCGTACTCCGAGCCCTCGCTGTGGGTCTCGCTGGCGATCCTGCGCCGGGGCTTGGCGCGGGCACAGTCCTCAGGCTGGGGGAAGTCACGCAGGCCCCGGCCCCGGCCACTCCGCTGGCCGCTGCCGCTGTAGATGCCTCGCGGCCCAAGGACCCCGCTGCCGCCACACAGGCCACTCCCGTTCCCGCTGGCGGGCCGGCCTCGGAAGGTGAATTCCCGGAAGCCCCGGCCGCGGCTGCGGGGCTGTCCTCGAGCCCCGAAGGCCTGCTCCTCGTCGATGAAGATCCAGTTGTTTCTCTTGGTCGGGGGGATGTCGCTGGACTCACGCGACGCTCTGCTCTCCCAGGTCTTGTCCGGCTTCTCGTCCTCATCAAACTTGGCCTCGTAGCCAAAGCCGGCGTGGGTCGAGGCCTTGTCCTCCGGGGTGGCGGGGGAGGCATTGGCCAGGGCTGGGTTGTTCTCCTCGTCCTCGTCCTCCTGGGCTTTGTGTGCCGGCTCCTTCTCTGTGGCCAGCCGTGTGCCATCCTCCCCCAGCCCCTGCTTCACCTTCTCCAGCTCCTTCTCTTTTTCCTCCACCTTGAGGGCTTTGAGGACCGGCTTCTTGATGGGCCCCGACCTCCGGGTCCTGCCCGGCTGCTCCTGCTGCTGAGTGCTGGAGCTCCGGGGCTCGGGCGCCCACTCTGGCTCTGGGTTTGGCGGCTTCTCTGGGCTCCCTTCCTTCTCCCAGGAGAGGTGGAAGGCTGCCTCCTCTCGGGGCGCCTCTGGCTCGACACCGTCGGCTGTGTCGGCAGCCTTTGGCTGGTGGCCAATGTCCCAACTGCCGTACTCGGGCTTTTTCTCAGTGGGAACAAAGTCAGGCTCCAAGGGAGGACACCTAAGGTTTTGGGTGTGACCCCCAAGAGCACCCACCTCCTGAACATTTTCTTGGGGTGGAAACAAAAGCTCCTGGCCTATTCTTTGAGAAGAAATACAGCTGTCAAAGTCTGCCGGGGCCTTCTTGTCAAAAGCACTCAAGTACTCCTCCCCTCTCTCCTCAAAGAGGTCGCGCTGGGCACTTATGCCCCCTGACCTTCCAGGGGAGGCGCAGTAAGAGCTTTCATTCCTGAAAAGGAACCAGAGAAATCAGTCAATGTGATTGGAGCTTGGTTCCTGGGTTCCATGCTGAACACAGAGCTTAGTTTAAAAAAAAAAAAGCTTTTAAAAAAGAAAGGAAAACATAAGCAAACATTTGCTCTATCTGTAAACAAGGTTGCTGGGGCTTGGCCCTGGAGTCCAAGAGCGAGGAGAAGGCCTGGGCGCAGCGTGGCATGCATGGGCTCGGCGCGCCACCCTGGAGACGGAGAGGAGCCGGCGGTGCCCTGGAGCAACGAACAAGCTGGAGCCTGGAGTGGCGCGGAGCCTGGACCTGCTCCTGACCCACCTGCCTGCGGGGGCCTACCCTCTCCCGTGCCCAAGGTTCGGCAGCCCGGGCCGGCGGCCCCAGCGCCAGAAAGAGCCGCTCGCACAAGCATCCACGCACTCCTCGCACACCTCCCCGGCCCCGGCAGCATCTTCTCTGGCACCGCAGTCTTCCTCCCACTGCAGGGCAGTGGGCACAAGCCGCAGCTCACCTGACGTGCATGTCCATCGCCAAGGTGTCACTCGACTTGGCGTGGGGGAGCACGTAGCCCTTGCTCTGCAGCGCCATGTAGCCCTCTGGGCTCCACACCGGGGCTGGGTCGATGGGGGTCACTTTTCTTTCTTGCAGTGGTGGCACACAGTTCTGATCTTCAGAGCGACAGCCAGTCCCATTGAGGGAATCTGGGGGCATCATGGGCTTCATCAGTCCTAAAAAGGCAGAGGACTAATCAACACCACTTCATTTAGAAAACCCTTCTGACAAGCTGGGCAGGGTGCTATAAGCCTGCAATCCAGCTGTCTGGGAGGCTGAGGCAGGAGCATCACAAGTTTGAGTCCTACCTGGGCAAGTTAATCACTGAGCAAGACCCTGGCTTAGAATAAAACACAAAAAAAGGGCTGGGATGTAGCTCAGTGCAAGGGCCCTGGGTTCGATCCCAGTCCTGGCCAAAAAAAAAAAAAAGGAAGGAAAGGAGGAGGGAGGAAGGCAGGAAGGAAACGGGCAGGGAAAGGAGCTGGCACCGGAACCTCCACACCTCATGGCCAGCCAAAGGCTCCAAGCAGAAACAGACGCCCGACTGCCAGGTGGACACAGCAGTCACAGCGTGACCGCCAGGGCCCCCTCCAGTCCAGCAGGCCGAGCCGCAGCCCTACAGTGCACAGGGAGCCAGCACGGAGCTGACCCAGAATCTGCAGGAAGATTTGGACAGGGATGCTGGTTTCACTGCCTCATACTCCCAGCCCCAAGTCAGACAGGAACGCTCCCGTTTCTGGAATTGTGGGCATGGGGGCGGGGATAGCTAAAAATAACAGTAACTGTTAACTGGCTTGCATGGATTAGGACACGGGTCACGTGCTGGTCCCGGGCTGCAGTAACTAACAGGGAATCTGGACAGATCCCAGCCCTCTCCAGCTGTCTGCCCGCCTCTGCCACACAAGGCAGCTGGGATGGCGTGAGTAACAGTAAAGGTCTGGTCAGGGCGGATTCTGTGCGGGCAAAAGAGATCTGAGAACACACTCCTACACCAGGCCAGCTGTGGGTCGCCAGACACAGGACTCCAGCATAACCTGTGCTTGGGGGTGTCCTCCCTAGGCGCCCAAAATGCCATACCATTTAATGAGCTTTCACCACAAGCCACAAACATGATCTCGTCTGTGTTGGGGTGACAGCCCCCACTACCCGAAAAACTCTGCTGCGCAAGGCTGGACACAGTGTATCAAGCATTTCGCCTGCAGAGCTGTGGTCACAGGAAGACAGAAAAGTCCTGGAGCTAAAACCCACAGGAGCAGGGTTTCTCAGTCAGGGCTGGAAATCTAGGGGCTTGGTCTTAACATCCTCACAGGAGCAGGGTTGAGGCCCTTCTGTGCAACTGTGCTCCATACCCAACGCTGTAATCCCAGCACTTTGGGAGGCAGAGGCAGGAGGATCTCAAGTTCAAGCCCCGTCTGGGAAACTTAAAGACTTAGTGAAACCCTGTCTGAAACTAAAAAAAGCAAAAAACAGATGAAGATCTAGGTGAAACCCCTGGGTTCAATCCTCAGTATCATTAAAAAAAAAAAAATGAGGTGAGGGACCTAGCTCCGAAGAGTGAAACCCTCAAAAGGTGTGCTGGCAGGACATGCCCTTGAGTACAGGGAGTTGACGGGAAGTCCGACTTGGCCAGGCGTGGGCAGGGAAAAACAGCCACCCTGAGGTATTCACAACACATGCTCACTCTCATAGGGGTCACCGAGAAGGAAGGGTTCCAGTTCCTATCCCCCAGGATGGAGCAGAGACCATCCAAGTTAACATCAAAGATGGCTTTAGGCTGGGAGCAAAAACCACCAGGCTGGGTCCCCAGCCCAACTTCTACTGGATCCCAGAGCCGACCTCACCCTCCCAAATCACCGGAAGGAGGTGGGGCACGCCGGGCTGGCACAGCAGGTGAGACAGCACCCTGAGGAGGGTTTCAGATACCAGAACAAGCTGACCAGTGCCACAAAGCGAGGTTTAAAATGACCAGAAGCAGAACACAAGGAGTTAGGATGCAAATTTAAAGGCACACTCACTGAAATTAAAAACTCACCAGGCAGGGCTGAGGATGTAGCTCAGCAGCACAAGTCCTTGTCTAGCAAGCGCAAGGTCCTGAGTTTGATTCCCAGTACCAAAAAAAAAACCAAGGCAGGGCATGGTGGCGCACACCTGTAATCCCAGCACTTGGGAGGCTGAGGCGGGAGGATCACTGCGAGTTTGAGGCCAGCCTGGGCTACAAAGTGAGCTCAAGGCCAGCCTGAACTGCATAGCGACACCCTGTCTCAAAAAGACAAAAAAAACCCTACCCTCACTGGGCTATACAAGTGTGGATTAGACACTGCTGGACAGAAAGCGAGCCAGGAGTGTTGTCTCTTATTTAAGACATCCAGAAGACAGATGAGAAGGTACAGAATAAACCTAAGAGAAAAACTAAAAAGGATAGAGTATAAGCCGGGCGTGGTGGCACATGCCTGCAATTCCAGCACTCAGGAAGCTGAGGCAGGAGGATCGCTGCAAGTTCAAGGCCAGCCTGAACTACATAGCAAGACCCTGTCTTAAATAGCCAGAAAATAAAAAATTAATAATAATAAATACATGAATAAATAAACAGAAGAAGGAGGGCTGGGGTGGGGCTCAGCACTTGCCAAGCATGCATGAGGCTCTGGGTTCCAATCCCTGGCACTGGGAACAAGAATGAGAGAAAATTAGTAATCCAAAGCAATTATTAGGAGAGAATTTTCCAGAAGTGGTTAGAGACCTACAATGAGTTCTAAGCAGAATATGCAGGACCAAAGTATACATACACTTCAGCACAACACACGGAGTACTCAGGGGACCAAGGATAGAGGGAAGCGCAAAAAGCAGCCAGTGAGAAGACAGAGTAGAAGGCCTAGAAATGAATCTGGCCTTCAGCAGCCACGGGTGCCAGAAGAAAACAAAATACTCCGAGTGCACAGTACCGAGAGGAGACCCCCACCACATCTCCATTCAGCAGGGTGAGACGTTCAAACACATCTTCGTAAAGCACCAAAGGATACGCCTCAGGCAGAAGTAAATGAACTCAGAAGGGCTGGCTTCTGCCAAGTCGGGGTCCATGCTAGAACTTTAGCATCACCACTGACAGAAGACACAATGCAGAAGGGAGAAAAGGAACTGGAAAACTAATCCAAGAAAAGACTGGAAAGAAAACACAAAGGAAAGAAGGATGACAGAATGCATAAAATGAGACAGCGGGAAAACCAAAATATAACAATTCCAGTAAATCTAAAGGGACCAACACTGGCAAATAAAAGCCATAGCTTTTCACAGTGAGTAAAACCACGCACATTTTGTAGACATGAAGATACAATCCCTAAAAAGAAGGGCTCACAAGCCAACAGTGAAAGGTTGGAACAAAAGTTATCAAATAAGTGTTAATCAAAAGAAAATGAGGGGGCTGGGGATTTAGCTCAGCGGCACAGCACCCGCCCCGCAAACACAAGGTCGTGACTTCGATTCCCAGTACCAGGGGGGGGGGGGGGGGAATATATATTGAAATATAAAAAAACAAAAAAAACTAAAACGAATACACCAGGCGTGGTGGGGCACGCCTGCAACCCAGCACCGGCAAGGCTGTGGCAGAAGGCTCGCCTTGAGTTTCAGGCCAGCCTGGGCTACACAGTGCACAGTGTCTCAGAGACAGAGGCAGAGAGAAGGAAAGTGGTATGAGTTTATTACTGTCAAAGCAGACAGTAAAGGGGCTACACAGTGACAGAAAGAACGAAGTGCGGTAACCCCCACTCCCCCATACCGAAGGCTTGCAAGGAAAACCTGACAAATCCACACCCACAGCGGGAGGTTTTCGGTTCTCTCTGGGGTGTGGCATGCATAACATGCCTAACACATGCTGTGCCGCTGAGCCACACCCAGCCCTCCTACTCAGAATTTGAACACATCTCTCATAGATATTTGTACAGTGCAATTGGCAAACTCAATCTGACGACCTATATCCAACAAGAGAATGTAGATTCTTTGCAGGCAAACAAAAAAAAAAGTTAACCAACAAAGAAAGAAGCTCAAAAGATGTCAGCCAATCCAGATCAGGAGGTCTGAAAACTGCAGGCCTGAAGCAAATAGCCTTTCTTTTTTCTCCACACCAGGAATGGAACTCACGACCCTGCACTTGCCAGGCGGGCACTGTGCCACGGAGCTACATCCCTGGCACTCAGCCTATTTTTATCAAGTTTTACTGTTTATGGCTGATTTTGTCCTACAACAGCAAAACGGAGTAAATGATCAAATGCTAAGATATTCTTTATCTGGCCACTGACCGGAAAAGACAGCACACATCCAATAGACCATATTATCTCCCACAAAGCGGCAGAACTGGAAACTGATCCCATCAAGGCCATCTCAAGGGTCAGAAACGTCAAGGCTATTTATCACCAAAAGAACGGAACAACCTCAAGGGAAACGGGAGGGAAAGGAGTAGAAATTAATGAAATAAAATCCAAGTAAGACAAAGAAAATAAAAACAAGTTATATCATGTACAGATACAAATTCTCTATGATGAATGTGATCATTATGATGTGATTATGTGTACATCTAAAAAGTACCAATAAAGTCTGATCTTTTAAAAAAAAGATAAAGAAATGAGGAAAGCCAAAATGTGATCTTCAGAAGGGCTTCAGACAACCCTGGAAGAAACTAATCAAGGAGAAAAGGAAGAGAGAGGACACAAAGAATGGAAACGGACGAAGCAGCCCTGCAGGGCTCTGAACAGTGGTGTGAGTGTGTAATTCCTGGTTCGTCTCCCCAGCTCCTGCCGACAGAGGCACTTGTATAGCTCCTCGCTGTGAGCTCAGAGCAGCTGTGACCTCACGGAAGCCAGCGACACCCTCCAGCCACACCTCCAGGCCAGACAGGCGCGGGCCGCCGGGCTGCAGAGCTCACCTGAAGGGTGCAGTGGCGAAGGGTAGAAGTCCACAGGGGTCCGGGCGGGCGGGATGCGGGGGTCCATGTAGGACGGCATCATCATCCAGCGGGGGTCGAAGCCCAGCATCTGGGGGTGGTGCGGGTAGAAGGGGCGCTGCGCGTGGGAGGGCGGGGGGTACACTGGCTGCCAGTGCTGCATCTTGTACAGCTGCTCCTGGCCAGGGAGAGGGAGAGAGAAGGGTCACAGGGGTTCGGGGACGAGATGCCACCCCAACACACACACACACACACTCTCTCTCTCTCTCTCTCTCCCCCTCCCACCTCTCCGCTGGTGACACAGAAGCCCACCGTACAGAAGAGGGAATCCACAACAGCTGCCCTGTGGGAGCCCCTGCCTGTCATGCTTTCCGGCTGGGCCTCTCCTGAAGCTGGAGGGACAGTCAAACCATTGCACTATGGAATCCCCGCTCCCGTGCTCCCCAAGACAGACCAGGCTTCTGTGCGGATCAAGTGCTGTCCCGGTACCAGCCTAGTCCAGCAATTGCTGGGCGCTGGCCGCTTCATCTCCTGGCAGATCCCCACCACCTGGGGACGGCCCCGCCCCTTCTCTCTGACCCCCGCTTGGGCTCCAAGCTTCCAGGAGCCTTCAGGGGTCCTCCTGCTGCCTGCCTAACGCGTGACTGCAGGTGACCTATGGGGCACATGGGACCTGCCAACTTCCACTGTGACTGTCCCCCTCCTCCGCTCCACATACACCCACGGGCCACGCCTGGACCTGGAACACACTCAGCCACTGGGACGGCGCTCTGCTCTCCACCCCTTTGCCTGGCTTTCTAGCTCAAGACTTCTGCAGCACACCCAGCACCAACCCGTGCTCCCACAGGACTGCTCCTTCCCGTGACAGGCAAGAGGCCGCACATGCCTGGCCCACTGTGGCCGGCACCACGCTGACAACAGTAGAGGCCCACGAAGCATTAAGGCCCCTACTCCAAGCTGTCAGGTAGCTCCGCGCCCACCTCCCACGTGCCGGCTGGACGCCCGAGCACAACCTACTCAGGGGCCTCGGGCACACCCGTCCCCTCAGCCCACACCTCATCCCGGGCAGGGTTCCCAGGTACTCGAGGGGTCCCCAAGGCACTTTCCATTAATAGAGCACCTCCATTAAGAGCCAGGCACTCCCGCTCCCGCCCGCAGAAGGATGAGGGCTCCGTCTGGACCTCAGGTCTCCAGAGGCCCCAACCAGCCAGGCTGCCTGGGGCTCCCAGTCATCGCTCTGCTCCCAAGGACGGACCGGCCGCGCCTGGGAAGAGCCAGGGCTGTCTGCACGTGACTGCAGAGCCCTCCCCGTCAGGGGTCCTGCACGCTGTCCGCTCTCGGCCCTGCCTGAGGGACCACACGGCTCACGCTGGCTCCACGGCACTGCAAGTGCACTACGGGTGGGCCCGGGTGTCTCCTGGGAGCCCCCGGCACGGACGCTGGCAGGCTTTACCCTGGAAGGGTCCTCTCTCCGGAGCACACGCGTTTGGGGATATCTTCAGTTAGCATTAATAATCTGTTACACACCCAGCTGCTGGGCCTGCCCCAAGCGACACCTCCGAGCTGTCCCTGTTTCCAGCACGACACGTGATCCCTACTGAGGGCACCGTGCCCCGTGGCTCTCAGCTCCAAGGGAGCACAGCGGCTACCCATGCCCCAGACGGCGCACAGGGCCCTCATCCGCTGAGCGTCCAGGGCAAGCCGTCCCCGGAAAAGTTTACAGGAGGCCAGGACTGACGGTGTCAATACGGAGGCAGCCTGGGACAGGACCCACAGCTCTCAGAATCTGCACGGCCCCGCGCTCTGCCCAGAGTCCACAGGCCCCTCTGGGGCTCCTGGAGGCCCCGCGCGCCCTTGAGTCTCACAGGAGTGGCAGAGGCTGCGCCACTCTCAAGTACGCTGCTGAGCCAGGCGAGTTCAGCGCACGCGCCACCCATCTTTCCCTTCCTGGGGCGACAACGCAAGATCAGCACAGCACAGGGCCACAGCCTCTGGGAGAAATAGTGACCTGCCAAGGCCACAGCGCTGCAGTGCCACTCCCAAGGTCACTGGGACGTGAGGGTGCTGAGCTGGAAAGGTGGTTAAGGGACAGGGCAGCCCCACATCACCTCTGCCTGCTCACCTGCTGCTGCTGCTGGCGCTGGAACCGAGGAGGAAGCGACTTCTGGTACTTGCTGAACTCCTGTGCAGGGGACCCGGCCTCCCTGGCCTCCTCCTCGATGCTGCTGCTCTGAGCCACCACTGGGGAGGTGGCGGGTGCCTCTTCTTGGAACGGAGTGGGGGTGTCCTGTGCAGGGAACTCCGGGGAGCCTGGGAACAAGCAAGCGTAGGGGTGCGCTGCAGGCTCAGGGAGGCTCAGCAACTCCGGATGGCGCTCTCGGCCCGCCTGGGACACCCCACAAACACCCCAGGAGGCCTTGTCCGCCACCACTTTAGAGAGGACACAAAAGAGCAAGTGGGCAGGGGGAGTCACGCAGCCAGCACCGGCAGCAGAGCTGGCATCTGTCACACACCTCCACCAAATCAGAGAGCAGCTGTGACCTCAACCGAAGTCCACACCCGCCATCAGACTGCATGAACTCAACGCATCACAGCTGAGACCGGGCACATGGCTCGGCCTCTTCCGCACCGTTCTTCTGGTGTTTGGGTTTCTTGGGTTTGAGGCAGGGTTTCAAACTGGCCTTGAACTCACGGGAATCCTCCTGCCTGAGCTTCCCGAGTGCTGAGATTACAGGCCTGTACCATCACATCTAGCTCCCTGCCTATTCTCAAGGATACTTGCTGTGCCTGCTCTGCCAGGTTTTTTTCTGTTTGTTTCTTTAGTCTTTTTGACAAGATTGCACTAGGTAGTTCAGGCTGGCCTTGAGTTCACTTCGTAGCCAAGTTAGTGGCCTCAAACTCGCAGCCATCCTCCTGCCTCAGCCTCCACAGTGCTGGGATTACAGGTGAGCACCACCACGCCCATCTCCACAGAGTTTTTGTGAGAATGGAATGGGATTCAGCAAAAGCCCAATAGGACTTCTCCGAGCCCATGCCACTGAGCTCTGGAGACTGGGCCCCATGCCAACATGGAGGTCCCCAGAGACCGGGCCAGAGGGGTGGGTCCTTGGCCAGGCCGAGGGTCAGACTCGGCGCGAGGAGGCAGCAGAGAGGAAACTGAGCCGGGCCCACTCTCCTAATAAGGGCTGTGGGAAGGGAGTCACGGCACATGAGCTGGCCGTGCTCCTGGTGTCCCTGTCCCAGGGGCCACAGCATCGCGCTGCTTTGTGCGTCCTCCACAGCCTCGGGACCTGTTCCCGTAGGGCCAACCACCAGGAAAGGTGCATCCAGCAGGCACACGGGGCCCTGAGTCTGACAAGAGGCCCTGCGCTCTGAGCAACGTCGCGGGGACAGCGACAGTGACAAGAGAGTATCGTCAGCAAGCACCTGCATGCGTCCACAGGCTGCGAGCTGTGCACACACGGCTCGTCACCACCTACAGGGGAAGAGGGGCTCGAGAGGGGCTTCATCAGCTCGACTGAGAAACTGAGACGGCCGTGGTGACGCACTCCGGTCATCCCAGCACTCGGGAGGCTGAGGCAAGAGGACTGCCAGGAGTTCTGACCAGCCCGGGCTACACTACAGTGAACTGAAGGCCCGCTTGACCACACAGCGAGACCATCACAAACAGAAAGCTGAATGGGATGAGAACCCCACCCACATGACACTTCCCACTATATTCTTGTTTCAGACACAGCTCCGCTAGGAAGTTGGGGAGACAAAGTCCCAAGCCCCAGCCGTTGGCCCCAGGGCCCTCCCCTCACCTTTGCGGGGGGCAGGCCCGTTCTCCTGTGGGGCGGCCTTCTCCAGGCCTGGGGACCGGGGCGCGTCCCTCTCCGCCTGCTTCTGGACCCCGCTGGCCTTCTGGGCCTGCTTGCACTTCTGGTCCAGCAGTTTCAGTTTGGCTGCGCAGGCCGCCAGCCTCTCCTCGCGGGCCCGGCGCTCCTCCTCCTCCCGCCGCTTGCGGGCTCGCTCCACGGCCTCCGACATCTCGGACTGGATGAACTTCTGCCGCAGAGGAGGCTTGTCCTCCTTGTCCTCCACAGACTGCTGCCGGAACACGCTGCCTGCAGAGGGCTTCTGCCGAGAGACAGTCAGGTGAGAGGTGGTTCTGAAGCTGGGCACAGGGGCCAGGTCCTCTGGGGGTCAGTTTCCCTCATCACAGAACTCGACCTCCCACAAAAATTCAAAGCCTCACGAACAAATTCACTGCCACGCACACAGCTTCAAGTTTGTCTTTACAAAAAAATGAAAAACTGCCAAGCACAGTGGCGCACACTCCTCATCCCAGCACCACTCGGGAGGCTGAGGCAGGAGGATCGCTCTAAGTTCAAGGCAGCCTGACCAACATAGCAAGTCCCTGTCTCCAAGAAAGAAGAGAAAAATCATGTCTAAAAACATACTTTTGTTTGTTTTTGTTTTGCTTCCAGTACCGGGAATCGAACTCACGACCTTGCGCTTGCCAGGCAGGCGCTGTGCTGCTGAGCTAAATCGCCAGCCCTAGAAACATACTTTTGGACATTTTATCTATTCCTGAGTCTCTTGTTGGTAGGCAGTTATAAAACAAGCAGGGTATCAAAGACCAAGTACGAAGAGTTCAGCACAAACGACCCTAGCTGCTGCCACTCTGACCTGATTTCAGAGAAAGAAAAAAAGAAAAAACTTCCTGGTTCCAGTGGTACTACAGTCACACGGGCGTCTGCCACTGCCAAAGACCATCGGCCAGAAGCAGCTAAGGTTTCTGCCTGTTCGTGTAGGTCAGTTATATGTACTTAAGAAACAGGCTGTGCTGAGCACGAGGCTGAACATCTGGAATCCCAGCACTGTGATCCCCTGCGGAGAAGGGAGCCAGAGGATGGAGGGCTCAAGGCCAGCCCGGGACACATATCAGCAAGACTGTCCCAAGACACCATGAAGAGGAGGAGGAGGGGGAGCAGGAGGAGGAAGGAGAGCGGTTCCTTGATTCGAGAGCTTCATTCTTTCCATCATTCTGGTCGCAAGCTCAGCTGGCCACAAACTGAATCGAATTTCCCTCCAGGGTCAGCACTGGACCCAACCACTGAATTTGATTTGGTTCACCACCACTCCGGTTTGTGACCAGAATAGTGAAAAGAATCCAATTTGTGAATGGAGGTCCCACTGTAATACGCAGCGCATTTGCTGTGGTTGAGGAGTTTCTTCCGGAAATGTTCTTACAACCGTAAATAATTATTGTAATGATAAGATTCTGAGGCTCCAGTTTCGAAGCACAAAGGCACTACCTTACACACATAGCTGGGACTGAAGTGTACACTTTCCTTTCACTTTGCCACTGAACATGAATCCCTGCCGTGCTTGGGAAATGGCTGTGCATCACTGCCTGATTTATACCATGAACTCCCTGAGGCCCTGGACAGGTGCTGCTGGACGCATGTGACCCCAGCACTCTGGGAAGCTAAGGCAGGATCGCAAGGTCAAACCAGCCCAAGTACAGTAACGACTCAGCAATGCCGTCTCAAAAATTTGTTAAAAAGCCGGGCATGGGGCAACCCATTTAGGACCCATCCTTCTCTCAGGAGCTATTCCTGTTGTTCATTCCCCCATCCCTAGTCTCCATTCCTTTTCTCCAATAAATTTTTCTACTCTTAAAAAAAAAAAAAGAAGGCAGGCATGGTGGCGCATGTCTATAATCCCAGCACACAGAAGGCTGAAGCAGGAGGCTCGCTGAGGGCTTGTGGCCAGCCTGAGCTACACAGTGAGTTCAAGGACAGCCTTAACTACATAAGTACCTTGTCTCAAAAAAAAAAAAAAAAAAAAGGAATGAATGAATGAATGAGTGCTTAGAGATACAGCTCTAGGCAAAGGCCCTGGGTTTGATATCTAGTACTACAAGGGAAAAAAAAGATGACCAATCAGGTTGGCGCCCTGCTCCAGTAGTTTAGAAAACAGTTCCTCCTGCCACAATTCCTACCACTTTTTTTTTTTTTCCGTCTTTTTGAGACAGTGTCTTGATATGCAGTTCACGCTGGCCTTGAGCTCACTTTGTAGCCCAGGCTGGTCTCGAACTCCAACGATCCTCCTGTCTCAGCCTCCTCAGTGCTGGGATTACAGGGCTACACCGCCACACCGGCTCACTCTTTATTTTTGTGGCTGTTAAAAAACAAGAAAATGCCGGGTGTGGTGGCACACATCTGTAATCTCAGCACTCAGGAGGCCGAGGCAAGAGGATCGCTGGGAGTTGGAGGCCAGCCTGGGCTACAAAGTGAGCCCAAGGCCAGCCTGAATTGCATAGCGAGACCCTGTCTTAAAAAAACAAAAAATAAAAATAAAAAACAAGAAGAAAGAAATGTTACCCAGGACTTTTCAGGAGCCAAGCACTGAATTCAACCGAATGCCATCGCTCATGACATTGGCCCAAAGCCCTGCTGATCCCATCCCCCAGCTCAGTCCATGAGAGAGGTGCCTGGCACACGGCGAGCAGACGCCAGCCCACGTACCTGGTACTCCGGGCCCGGCGCCCAGCCGTGCAGCTTCCTGGCCGGCGGCTGAGGCTCTGGCACTTTCCAGACGACGCGGGACAGGCTCGAGGCCTCACTCCAGTCCTTCCCTTCCTCTTGGGTGCGTTTGGCATCGGCACTGTCCGCAGAGCTCATGGACAACTGCCGCTGTCTCCTCGGGTCCCAGCTGTTCCTAGGACAAGGGGCGCTCGGGGTCAGGCGTGCCAGGGCAGCGCACCAGCCAGGGCACGGGGGATCTGGAGCAGCTGTCCCTGTACCAGCTCCCTTAGTCAGACACAACCCTGACACCTGCTCTTCACGCACAAGCACGCACAATGTCACTGTCATTTGCAAAGCTCCAGGCGACGTGTGACTCTGCCTATGCCAGGACCCGGCCCCGCACACCAGCAGGGAACAAGCGGTGGCCCTGCAGGGTGCCCTGGTGAAAAAGCAGAGGAGCTAAGCACACTGACGGAGCACGGGCATGTCACGGGCTTTGCCAGGGGGTCGGTCAAGGGCGCTCAGAGGGGCAGGAGAGAAGGACAGCGGGCTGGGAAGAGCCTGCTACGATGACGAGCAAGCTCGTGTCCCCCGCACACCTGTGACAGGCGGCGGATGGATGAGGCGTGGGGGGGGGCATGGGGAGAAAGAGCAACAGCTTTCGGTGACCTTCGACCCGGCCCCAAGAGACCCCTTAGAAGTCTCTGACCCTCTGGAGAAGACCTGCATTCTTAGAGGACATCTAACAAAAGCACAGTGTGACACGCGGGCTGAGAGGACAGGGTAACAAGGAGCTGACACAGAGAACAGTTCTGGTCCCTGGAGACCGAGGACAGGGCACAGAGGCAGGAGGACATGAGGGCAGCGTCAAAGGCGGCTTGGGTGCTGTAGTGTGGGTCCTTGGGGGCTGGAAACCATAGCCAGCTCCGGGGACACGGAAAGGAGCAGGCTGCAGGAGCAGGTCACTTGGACCTAAGTCGTGCCCGGTCACAGCCAGTGGCTAAGCGGGTCCAAAGCCCGAGCCCCTCAGCTGAGCGTCCAGTGCACGGTGACTGAAGGTGGCAGGAACACAGTGTCCTGCTGTCCCCGCAGGTCTGTACTATTTCCTGTCTGGTTTGATTTAAACCCTCAGCCATATCTTTGGAGCTCAGGGTTCCAAGAACGGACCCATAGGGACATCCCCAGTGCAGCCAGAGCCCTGGCCGGCAGCGAGCCACAGGACGACGAGCCACACGGGGGGAGTGGCGGACAGCGGTGCGGCTCCCTCCAGAAGAGGGTTAGGCACTTGCTTCCAGGGCATCGAAGCAAGGAAAGACTTGCACTCAGCCACATCAACATGCGATTACGGACACAGAGACAGCCCGAGAGGAGACCGCTGGCGCGTAACAGAGCCACAGAACAGGAACTGTTCTCTGCGTACAGCACAGGGGTGCGTCCACACAGGCGTGAGGGGCGGGCGGCGGAAGCGCCCACTGCAGCCCCACAGGTATCTTAAAAGCAGTAGCCAAGACTACCGATATTATGATAAAAACCTAAGGAAATGGCCACGCGTGGTGATGCATGGCTGTAAATGCAGCATTTGGGAAGCTGAGGCAGGAAGGTACCATGGAGTTCAAGCCTGGCCTGAACTACGCAGGGAGACCCTACTCAAAAATCCAGAAACAGGGCTGGGGATATAGCTTAGCGGCAAAAGCACTTGCCTGGCAAGTGCAAGGTCATGAGTTCAATTCCCAGTACAAAAAAAAAAAAAAAATCCAGAAACAACGAAACACTAAAGCCATCCGAACGTAAGGCAGTCTCTTCCAAAGGACCTTGAGTAACATTAGATCCACCGCTGCCAGGAGGGAGATTAAAGGCGCCGAGCAGGCGTGGGGAACCTGACACACGCCCACCCCACAGCCCTCCCTCATGCTCACGAGTTCAAGCCTCAGAGGGGTCCTGCGCTCCCGAGGCTGAGGGGCAAGGGTGGCGGCCCAGGGCCTCCGAACAGGGCGGCCAGGGCGTCCGAGCGCTCCGAGGAGACACTAGGGGGCGCCAGGCTGTCTTGCCCCGGGGCAAAGCCCGGCTGCTCTCGGGGACTGACGACTGCCCATCTGCCCCTGCGAGGCAGTGACAGAGAGCAGGAGACCCCAGGACAGCAGCCAGCACGCACAAGCCCACGTGTTCCTGTGAAGCCAACACCAGGCGACACGGGCCGGCCAGGAGCCGGGCCAGGACGCCTTACCACTTGGGGCGGCCGTCCTTCACGACCTCCTCCTCCTCCTCATCGTCGCTGAACTTGAGCTTCTCGGAGTAGTCCACTTCTTCGTGGAGGCCTGCAGCAGCGGGGCAGGGAGCAGGGAGCAGCCGTCAGCAGAGGGGCACTGCGGGACAGCGGCCTCCCCTGGTCATCGGGCCGCCCCACCTGGGGGCCGCGGAGCCATCAAGCCACCCGCGGCCAGCACCTGCACAAGCCGGCACGCGACAAGGAAGGGCAGTCTGGCTCCAGGCAAGAGCAAAGAGCGGGGTCACACTAACCCTCCTGCAGACACACATTTTTACATCTCAGCAAAGTATTAGGACACTTTTACTTCAAGGCACCAGAGAGCGAGCAAGAGACACACAAGAGGGACAGGAGGCTCCGCTTGCATCACGGAAACTCTACAGGAGCCTGGAAGCTACCGTCTGGCACTCCTGACCAAAATAGTCCATCAACTGATGAATGGGCAAACAAAATATGGGAAAATCCATGTGGTGGAATATTATTTGGCCATGAAAAGAGGATGGATGCAGATATACTACACAACATGATCAACGCTGAATGCATCATGCTAAATGAAAGCAGCTAGATGCCAACAGGTCATATGCGGTATGACTCTCCCACAGGACATGTCCTGAAAATGCAAATCCACGGAGAAGGGGTGGGGGCGGGGAATGACTGCTGTGAGCTGCAAGGTGTCTTCCGGGCTGTGGAAATGCTCTGTAATTGGACAGCAAGGAAGGTGCAGCTATGAATGGACGAAAAATGACCCAACTGTGGATTTTTAACGGGGAAGATTTCATGTTATATGAAAAGGACTTATACGAATCCTATTTTAGAAAAAGAGCAACAGACCAGTGTGGTAGTGCACACCTGTACTCCCAACACTCAGGAGGCTGAGGCAGATGTTCACTAAGTTCAAGGCCTGCCTGGGCTACATAAGGAGAGCCTCAAAAAAAAAAAAAGGCAAGGAGAGGGAGGGAGGGAGAGAGAAACAAAATGCCTGCAAAAACCCTCAAGGAAACAGGCAAACTCCAGTTCACGAAAGTTCACATTTGAGCCCAGACACCTGGCACTGACGATACTGAAAGAAAATTATAGCCCAGCCTGGGCTACACGGTGAGATCCTGACTCAAAAGAAAAAAAAAGTACTCTCTTCCCCCACGCCCCACACTGGGGGTTGAACCCAAGGACACCCTACTACTGACCCACATCCCCAGCCCTTAATATTTCTTTTGTTTTTAAATTCTGAGACAGGGGCTTGCAAAGTCAGCCAGATAGCCTTAAACTTGTGGCCCTCCTGCCTCAGCCTCCCAAGCAGCCTGAGATGACAGGCGTGCACCACCACACCCAGGAAGCATGTCCCTGTAAGTATAATTGAAGTCCAGCTGAAGAGACAAAAAGAACTATAGAAGAAAAGAATCCAATTGGGGACGGGCGCTGGCAGATAAACAAGAAAGGGAGAACACTGGCCCTGCCTGGCTGTGAGAGGTAGTCAGCAGCTTGTTTTGTAGGCTATTTTTCCATATCACCCAGGTGCACCCACCACCTGGAAGGCTGAGGCAGGAAGATCGAAAGTATGGAGCTCAGTCTTAGCAACTTAGTGAAAGCCTATTTCAAAAAAATCAAAGAGGGCTGGGATGTAGCTCAATGCAAAGGTCCTAGGTTCAGTCCCCAGGACAGCACAAATAAAGGGTTAACAGCCAAATCTCCCACAGCTCCACGGTCAAAGGCACAGGCCAGAAGCCAACCCAGGCTGCCTGGGAAGCAGCCCTGCTGGGACGGGTACGCGGAGCCACGGGGCACGGAAGGAAGCTGCTGTGCCCCCCAGCCATCACGCCTCCCTTGCTGTGGTGGGATCCGCTGCAGGGCCCCCGGGGACCCTGTCCCTGGCCGGCAGAGCTGGGTCTCAGCCTGCACCCCCACCCACCTGCCCAGCCATCGTCGGCATCCGTGTCCAGGTCGTCGAGACCCTTCAGGTTCTCGGCGTTGATGATCGTGGGCCGCGGTGCCCGCTCCACCAGCTGCCGCAGGGGCCGCACCGGCCGGGTAAGCGGTGGCCTGCTTTCCTTGCTGCTGAGAGAGGGGTACAAGTGGCGGTGACGGCGACACCAGCGCCAGGTGCTGCCCTGCTCTCCCGCCAGCGCCACCTGCAGCCTTACCCATCCTGCTCGTTCATCTGGAACTGTCTGAAAGGAACTCGGGGCTCCAGGCGGAGCTGAGGGAGGGGGAAGGAGCCTCGGTCCACCGGGGCCTGGTTTTCGGATGACTGCGGCGAACACATCTGAAACAGAGTATCCGTGATTTTCCAGCAATGCCGCAAGTTCCAAGTTCCACTTTGGTTCGGGTTTTTTGCTGCTGTTGTCACTTTGAGACAGGGCTTCATTATACAGGTCAGGCTGGTCTTGAACTCACTACGGAGCCCAAGCTGACCTTGAACTCCCAGCGAGCCTCCTGCCTCTGCCTCCGAGGGCTGGGGTTACAGGCGTTGGTGTTCAGTTTCAGTGTGTTTTGGAAATGGGGGAACAAAAACAAAAGCCTGGGGGGGTTCCCAATGCATCTTACCACGCCCCGTCACCCCCACTTCCACCCTGTGGTCACAAGCTGGTGTGAGGACCGTTTCGGGGACCGCGAAGGCTGGCATCGCGGCTGCAGCGCAGGCACAGGCGCCGGAGGCCCACAGGACTTAACGGCCAATCTGCCACACGGGGCAGAGCGGGCACGGCGAGCAGACCCCAGGGCAGGGGGCACCATGCTGGGCCACGCCGGACCCCAGGACTTACAAAGGCGGGCAGCATGTCATGGTAGGCGGGTGGGTGGTACACGTTGCCCACGAACTGCGAAGCCCCTTTGCGGGCGGGCTGGGCTGGGCGAAGCGAGGGGTCCTTGGCGTCGCTGGTGCCGGCGGACGAGGGGGCTCCGTCTCCCACGCCCGCGCTCCTGCTGCCTGGCTCAGGCGGGGACGCGCTCAGAGCCGCGGCAGTGATGATGTTCCGCCCGCCGCCCTCCCTCCAGCTCGTCACATCTGGAAGGGAAAGGGGCGCAGGGGAGAGAGAGGGCAAGGGGGGCTGAGGGGGTTCCGAAGGGCACCCCCTTGGTCACCAAAAAAATGTTTAAAGTTTCTGACAGACAACACCAACAGGTTAGAAACCAGAAGTCCAGGAGGGCAAGTCTGTCAAGGGAGGGCAGGGCAGGGGCTGAACTCTGCTGCGAAAACCAAGGTCACCGAGAGAAGCTGGGATGAGCAGGCCGGCCGCAGGCCCCAGCACCCAGGCTGCGACGTGAGCACAGTCCCCACGAGGTCCCCTTCGGCCCTTCCTGCCGCCGGGGCTGCCCCGGCCACGGGGACTCAGCTCTGCGGTCCGCCCGGGGCTGACACAGCTGCGGCAAGCCGGGACGCCTCGCCGCCCAACAGACGCTGCTAGTGGCTGACGGGGACGTCTTGATGCCTTCTGGGCCCAAAGGGAGGGATGCTGGGGCAGAGACTTAGAGTAGCCCCTTGTCCAAGGGGGCTCCCCAAAACCCCTGAAGACGCCTGGAGCCCTGGATAAACCAAACCCTCGGTACACCCTGTTTTTCTTGTCTCTGTGACAAAGATTAATACATCAGTGGAGTACAGTAAGGAATGAACAACTGGAATAGAAATACATGAACACAGCCTCTCCCTCAATTTTTTTTTTTTTTTTTTTGTGGTACTAAGGATTGAACTCAGAGCCTCTGCACTGAGCTACATGCCCAGCCCTTCTGTGAGACAGGGTCTCACTAAGTTGCCCAAGCTAGGCTCCAACTTTCGATCCTCCTGCCTCAGCCTCCCAGAGCGCTGGGATTACAGATGTGTACCATCATACCTGGCTCAAAATATGGTACTGTTCAGTAATATTTTCAGAAAGAGAAACTGCACGGCTGGGAATATAGCTCAGCGGCACAGCGCCTGTCTGGCAAGCACAAGGTCCCGAGTTTGATTCCCAGTACCAAAAAAAAAAAAAAGAGAGAAACTGCAGGTAAAGGGGGCACTGTATGGGCCACAGAGACAGCAGATGTGCGAAGTCTTCAGCCAACTTTTGACTGGGAGCTGGGACGCAAGCCCCATGTTTGCATCTGTGAAGGAGAACCAGGGGGAGAGCCAGCATCCAGGCTGCCCCGCCCCTTGCTGTGGGGGTGCAGGTCAGCTGAGGTCACCCTGGGCTGTCCGCTTTGCTGCCTTCACAAGGAGAGGGAACTGGTCCGAAAAGCTGCTTCTAGTTCCACTCTTGTAGCCTTCATTAAGAGCCACTCATCTTAATTAACCCCAGAAAGGCTCAACTCCTACCCCAAATGACTGGACTACATAACTGCAGCGAGAAAAACAAACCACGCGGCCCCTGGCAAGGTGTCATGAGGCGGCCCGGTGGTCACAGCTTACAGGACTGCGCCGCGGGGAGGCTTGCGAGCCTCAGGCAAGAGTGCTCGGGCGGCCGCAGTGCACACACCCAGCCTCCGCCCAACACAAGGAGAAACCCCAGCCGCCGCTGGTTGGGACCTGACCCAGGAGGGGACCCGGCCTCTCCACTCAGACCAGACCAACACTCTGCTCCTGAAGGTGCCACTCTGGCACTGTGCCTTCCCATGGCACACAGCCGACAGGAGGGGCAGCAGTGCTGGGCTGCCGGCAGCCCTGGGGACGGGGACGGGGACGGGGAGCCATAGGGACCCTAACGTGGCTGGGGCAGGGGAGGGCGAGAAGCCAGGTGGCCCTGGCAGGGTTCCACTGGCTTGGAAGAGCCACTGCAGCGGGCCCTTGTCACCCGGTGACAGACAGGAAGGGGACAAGGAAGAAGTCCAGTGGGCAGCAGGCCAGGCTCACGGCTGGCTTCCCCTAGGAGGGCAGATACGCGACTACAGGGGTCCCACGGCCCCACAAGGACGAGGTCGGCACGAGGCCGAGCAGCCGGACTTACTCTGCGGGCGGAGGCTTGGTCCTGGCCCATACGACAGATCTAAGACGCCCTTTTCTCTGCCAGCCTTGTCCTGCCCCCCAGCTGCTTTCAGCGTCGGAAATTCCTCGGGAGAGAAGGATAACAGTCGGCTTGAGCCCCTTAAACCTGTGGAGGCCGAGAGACGGGAGGAGCGGTGAGTGGCGTCACCCTCTGCCCGTGCCCAGCACACCGGCCAGCCGCCCTGCCAAGCCGTGCCCGGGCTAAAGTCACAGTGGCTCCTGCACATCCGTCCCGCGCCCGGCAGCGGGAGAAAGTCAGCCGCAGGACGGCGGCTGTACCACGAGGGCTCTCGCGGCACCGTGGCCTGCACCTCCTCACGGCTACCACCCACGAGCCCTTCCGCGGCCACCCCTACTGCAGGGACCGCTTCCCACACACAGCCTCGGGCCCTGCCAGGCCGGACTCGGGCTCGGCGACACCGGGCAGCGTTCCTTTCTTTGCTCTGTCACCCCCGCTTGCCACCGCTGCCTCTTTACAGGGCCGCCAGGTCCCCTCCCCGCCTCCTGTCCGGCACTGCCTGCCGCAGATTCCAGTGACCTCCAGATGACCAGGTGACAGGGCCGCACTGCGAGTTCTCAAGCACGCACTAACCGGTGGTCCGGACCAGGGAGCCCAGGACGGCCGCGCCACCACACCGGCGTCAGCGTGGGGACGCGGGCACCTGCCACACCCTCAGGCAGGGGCCGGGGGAGACGAGCTCATGGGGTGAGGGCTGGATACTCGGTCCTCCGGCAATTAACCTGAGAGGGAACATCCGAAGGCCACAAAGAAGAGCCACTGCTCTCGGACAGGGACTTTGGCGGAGCAGTTCTGTTACATTAAGAGTCACTGCCGAGAGTGAAACATTTAAAGTCCCGCTCTGAAAAAGGCTGCTTACTGCGTCCACGTGGCCTTTCTGTCTCTTTTTCTGCTACAAGAACCACGAAGGTATTACTGCAAGCACGGGTTAAACTCTCCCTCTATAAACAACAAGAGCAATTGCTGACTTGAACCCCAGCACCACAAGACCGGCAGCCACGTCCGGTCACACTCCGAGCCTCCGGCTTCTGCCTGAGCCACACCCAGCTCCATGCTGTCCAGGCCATCTGACTCGGCTGGCACACACCTACAGGCCATCTTGCGCATGGAGACAATCTGCCACTTCAGCAACGTCCCCTTCCAAAGAGCCAGGAGACCGTGTGGTCAGCGCACCCAAGCTCCTCAGCCTGACGGCATCACTGACATGTGACCGGGAGCCTGGTTCTCAGCCTGCCTGCGTCAGACTTCTGCAGCCACTGGGCACTGCTGGCTCCCGCGCCGATGCAGGACTTTGCTATGCTTTGGACTTACTTTCTAGGTGAAGGTTTTTGGTTTTTTTTGAGACAGGGTCTCCCTTTATAACTCAGGCTGGTCTCAGGCTGGCCTCAAACTCACAGCAATCCTCCTGCCTCAGCCTACTGAGTGCTGGGATCACAGGCATGCACCACCGCGCTTAGCTTAGGAAGGTAGGTAAAGCTTTATAATGTGACAGCTAGTGCAGTTCCGGTTCCCAGGTGAAGAGATGTGAGAAAATCTGCGCAGGGGCCCTCCCTTCCTGGCGGAGATTTTGAAATCTACCCGCCTCTGGGAGCCGTGTCGCCTCATCCCATGTTTCTCACAATGGCAGCAAACAATCGCTTCTATGAGGAACTCTGTCCACCCAGGCCCTGCCCTGCAGACCCAGCCACAGCCACAGAAAACCCCTGCCACTTTCCTTCAGAGAGAAGTTGGGCTTTATTCTGTTGAAGTGGCACATCGGACAGCAGGTCCCTGTAACTGTGTGCAGTGTTCTGCTGTCACAGTGCGAGACTGGACAACCTTGTGCACAGGCTCTGTGACAAGTGGCCAAGTGCCACTCACAGCGGAACTCACTGCCAGGTTGAGGGCACACTGATGTTCTCATAGGCAGGGCCAGGTGCCCTGCACGGGGCTGCGTCAGCAAACAATCCTGAGGAGCTCTTTAAATAAAACTCGATATCCTATTCACTTTAAGATTTTAAATCAGACAGTGGCACACCTGCAAGGCTGAAGCAGGAGGATCTCCGAGAGTGGGAGGCCAGCCTGGACTACATACCGAGATCTCGTCTCAGAAAAATAATAAATATAATCGATTAAGTAGTTAATTAAAATTCAAACGGCCACAGAAAGCCAAAGAACCAACTGACAACCTTGCACCACCCTTTAAGAAGCCTCTGTGCAGACCTTAGGGATGGAGCACGTGGCGCCCCTCCCTGCCTGTGCCCCACCACCGCTGGGAGACCTGCCCTGCAGCGTGGAGCCCCGAGCCCCGCACTTCGGCTCCTGGCAGACTCTGGAGTGTGCAGATCTGCTTGGTGCGGCGTGCTCTGTCACTTTCCTCAGGAGACAGGAAAGCCTTTGTCACAGCGCCTTCCACCTCGGAGGGGCGCAGCGCCGGGTGCAACCCCAAGCGCGGCCGGGAGCCCAGGCGTGGAGCTGGTTCCCGTGCAGGCCAGCTTGAGGCAGAAGCGTGTTTCCCAGCTCACCACTCGAGTGGCCTGCTGGGTCTGGGTGGTGAGAGAATGTCCCAGCTCACACTCAGAGGAGAAGGGTCCACACAGGAAGTCGGAGCCTCTGGCGCTCACCAGCACCGTGCAGCTGCAGGGCCACGCCCTCAGGGCCCGGGGGCGGACAGGAAGGCAGGCAGACAGCGTGCTCGGCCTCCCTGCTCTGCACTGGCCTCGAGGGCAGCTAGAACCTGAACTTCCCACGCAGTATTCTCTTTGAGAGGGGCCTCACGACGTAGCCCAGGCTGGTCTAGAATGCTCGTGGATCCTCCTGCCTCAGCCTCCCAAGAGCTGGGATTCAAGCATGTGCCCCCACGCACGCTTCACTGCCCCCAACTCAGCGCGCTCTGCCCTTGATCACGCCCATCCCAGAGGCTGGCTTGGCAGTCTGGCCTGAAGCTAAGCCGAGCCTCCCCCATCTACTCCTGCGGCCCCAGTGAGGGAAGTCGCTGGGTGCCGAAGCACAGCTGAATTCCAGACCTGGGGAGCCCACGCCCAGGCCTCCCCTGCACGCCCAGGACTGTGTGTGACAGTGGCAGTCACAGCGTTCGAGCTCACAGCTCCTGCAGCGCCAGCAACTCCACCCGCAGCACAGCCAGGGGCATCACGCACTTCCGCCTGTGCGGGCTCCACCAGGCTTTGAGGGGCCCAGATCCTCCCGGAAGGACCTGGGGTGGCATCCCCACCCCACCCCGCACACACGTACCACCTTCGTGTCCTGCTGGCTTTCCATTCAGCTGTGCCCATGACTTTGGTCCACCTGGCGCTGAATTTGTATTCTGGAAGAAAGACGGCAAGCTCTGAGTGAGAAAGCAAGACCCTGCTTCACAAACAAAGAGCCCTGGAGGGCGGGCACGCACATTCTGGCAGTGTCACACGCCTATAAAGTTCCGCTCACACCCCAGGGCGGCTCCAAAACTGCTCAACTTGGGCAGCCGGTTACCATCCTCACCAGGATTTGCACCCAGCCCCACCATGCCCAAACCCCCTTAGGGTCCCCAGCTGGAACTCTGCTCCCTTTGCCAGCAACAGCTGCCCTCACAGCCTACCCTTCCAGCTGAGGGCCGGGAGAGTAAACAATCACCCCGCGGCATCCATCCCTATCTGCCCGGTGACCTGTGCTCCCTGACCCATGCAGGAAACTAAATCCCACTCCCCAGCTGGGCAGCAGCATTCACTGGAGTGTTTTGTTTTGTTTTGTTTTGTTTTGTTTTGTTTTGTACCAGGAATCAAACTCAGGACCTTGCGCTTGCCAGGTAGGCATCGTGCCACTGAGCTATACCCCCGGCCCTCCCTGGAGTATTTTAAGACAGGATCACAAGTGTCTCCTCTTTCCGTTCCCCAAGACGGAAAAGACCTGGCGGCCCCCAGGAAGAGCTGAGCCCTGGAAGGGAAGTTTGTTAATCAGGGACTGTAGGCCCAGGCACTCAGGTTTAACAAACTGTGCAGCCAGGGCAGAAGAACCACAGCGCTGAACTGCCACTTAGCTTTCAATTCTAGTGAAAAGACATCCAATTCTACCTGAGTGACCAGCAGGCCCTGTGGGTGAGGCCAAGGAGCACGGACTTCCGCCTCCTGTCTTAGCTCCCAAAGCACCCGCCAGTGTCGCGCTGCAGAAGATGGAGATCCCCCTCCCGCTGGCAGCACACAAGGATGATATTTCATCTCCTACATTGCCCAGCAAAGCTGGGCGGGGTGGCACAGACCTAATAATCCCAGTGCTCAGGAGGCTGAAGCAGGAAGATCGCCAGGAGCTCAAGGCCACTGTGGGCTCCACAGGGAATTCAAGCCCAGCCTGAACTACAAAGCAAGGTCCTGTCTCAAACGAAAAGCACACAACACCAAAAAACTCTGCTGCCCAGCAAACAATACTCACCAATCTCCACCACCCCACAGTCAGGGTCTGATGACACACGGGGTTATAAGGCCTTGCTTGTTTAAATCATTGCTTTCCATTCAGAAAAAAAAAATTTCTTCGGTCTTTTTGAGACAGAGTCTCACTATGTAGTACAGGCTGGCCTCAAGCTCACGCTGTAGCCCAGGCTGGTCTCAAACTCCCAAGGATCTTCCTGCCTCAGCTCCCCGAGTGCTGGGATTACAGGCGTGCGCCACCACGCCCAGTTAGAAAAGTATTTTAAATGTATCAACAAATCAAGGAGTGTAGCTCGGTGTTTCCCACTGTGTGTTCAGAACCATTATTTCTTAGAGACTTTAGATTAAGAAAGTTTTCCCAAAGCAAATTGGTCCAGGGACATCAATTGTGCCATCCTCCCTAGGGAGTCACTGGGCCTTCACACTAAGCTACATCCCTGCCCTTCTATCTACCTATCTATCTATCTGTCTCTCTACCTATCTTATCTATTTATGAGGCAGGGTCTTGCCAACTTTCTAAATTGCCCAGGCAGGGCTCACTGGCCATCCTTCGCCCCCAGCTGCCTAGGAGGCCGGGATTATAGACGTGGACCACCACACCAGGCACTCTGTGTGACACTAGTTTCCCTGGAGCGTGTTCAGGGAAGCTGAGGCAGCCTGTCGTCAACCTACACGGCCCCACGTGAAGGCAGATCAGTGGAACTGAAGCAGGTGCCTGTGTCCTGCTCTGTGTCTGGAGTCTTTCTGCAAACGTACACATCGCCCAGGCACAGTGGCACTCGCCTGGAATCTCAGCACTGGGGAGGCTGAGGCAGGAGGGATGCCATGAGTCTGAGGCCAGCCTGGGCTCCATTGCAAGACCCTGTCTCAAAAAACAAAACACAAAGCTGCAGATCAACTATCTTCATGAGGACCGTAAATCGTCCGGCACAAACTGTCCTGGGCCACCTGCGCGCGCGCACACACACACACACACACACACACTCCAGGGTCCCTAGCCCCAGGGCACCCAGCACCTACCTCCTGGCTGATTGGCTGCGTCGGCTTCTGCAAATTGGAGACAGATTTCTGCAAACCCGGCTGCGGCAGCGACTCCGGCGGCTGACAGCCCGCTGCACTGGAACTAGGACAGGGAGGACACCAAGGGGACATCAGACCCCATGCAGAGCACGGGACAGGCTGCACTTCCAAGAACCACAGTGGGCAGCTGATCCCTGCACACCACACAAATCACTTTCCCCGGTGGAGCCCATGCCACTGAGAATTCACCAATGAGGAAAACGAGTCACAGAGCCCCTTCCTCCTGAGCCTGGACCACGCCTGTGGGGTGGGGGGCTGCTTTGTGACCTAACAGTTCCCTTCGCTCCCCTCATCAATGAAATGCAAGCTCATAGGAAAAATAAACCCATGAAGAGCTGGGTCTGGTGGTGCGTGCCTGTGATCTCAGCACTCAGGAGGCTGAGGCAGGAGGATTCCCATGAGTTCAAGGCCAGCCTGTACTACACAGTAAGACCCTGTCTCAAAAAAATGAATGAGGGGCTGGGGATTTAGCTCAGCGGCAAAGCGCCTGCCTGGCAAGCGCAAGGTCATGAGTTCGGTTCCCGGTACCAGAGAAAAAGCCAAAAAAAAAAAAAAAAAAAAAAAATGAATAAATAAAAATAAATAAACATATGGATATATGTGACCATAACTTGGCACAAACTCATCCTACAGGCAGAACCTCAGGATTTTCCTACACATATATTGGTAAAACACCATTTTTATAGAAGCACACTGGCCCCAGCATGCAGTTCCATAGCTGGTTTTTCTCCTTACACATGTGAACGTTTTTTTCATAGCAACACATATAGATCTACCTGTCTTTTACTGGAGGACACAGGACAATTGGATGGGCTATAATTTAACTAACCTTCAATGTTTTTCCCCAGTACAGATACAGCTGCAATGAGGATTTTGTGTAAGTACAGAACCTTCTGCTTTTTTGTTTGTTTTTATTTGTTTTGAGACAGGGTCTCACTATGTAGTTCAGGCTGGCCTTCCTGGTGGTCCTCCTGCCTCAGCCTCCTCAGTGCTGGGATTAGGGGCATTCGCCATCACTTCCGGTTCCTTGTTTTTTGTTTCGTAAATATGTAATTCAGTGGCACATGATCTTAGATATGCAATGACTGAATCAACAGATGTTTTGGAGCTTAGAAGATACTGACGGACTGTCCCCCGACAAGGCGATGGCAAATGCCGATCCCCTCACGCAGCTGAGAGAGCGCAGGACCCGGCTGAGCGGCACGCTCTGTGCTCCACAGAGCCGCAGGGGGCAGCAACCCACCTGGCCAGGCGCCGCCGTGCCCCTGCCGACCTGCAAGCCGGAGCCAAGTTCTCCCTGGACTCCTCCGCGTGCCTGCAGCTTGGCTCCCGAGCCTGCTGATCCTGTCAAAGGGAGGCCACACCTCCGCCACCTCCCCACACCTCCGCCGCACACTGAGGCTTCCAGGAAGGAGCACCCCACGTCCGAGCACTGGGCACCATCACTGAGGCCCCAGCTTCTCCTCTTCTCTCTCTCACCTTCTCCCTGACTTTGGCACGACTGGACCTTAACAGGCACCTGGCACCTTGTGCCAATGCTGGCTGGTACTGGATAAAAGGAAAGAGGAGCCAGGTGAGCTGCGCACACCTGTCATCCCAGTGCTCTGGGAGGCTGAGGCAGGAGGATTGCAAGTTTAGCCTGGTGCAGGCAACTCAGTGACTTAGTGGGACCCCACCTCAACATAAAAAATAAAAAGGGGCTGGGGTCGCAGCTCAGTGTGAAGGCCCTGGGTTCCATCCCCAGAGCCACACAAAAAAAAAACCTACTTCATTATTCCTGCTGCAGGCCCACCTGTGCTCCTCTGGGGTGAGGAGGCCGCTCCTAACAAGACTCGGGGGACTCTGGCCACCAGGGACAAGGCTGCCACGAAGGCCAGGAGAGGTCACTTCCCTGGCTCCACATACAAGGCCAGCACGGCCGCCCAGCCAAGGACACCAGGTCCCCCCGCCACCGGTTCCGCCGCCCCGCGGCTCACCTCTTTGGGTCTTGCTGGTCCGTCTTGTTTGCCCATCCCGTCCCGTCCTTGGGTACTATCACGATGTTGGGGTCGTTTCCTTTGTTCTCAGACTTCAGGCTTGGCAGGTTTGCAGGCGGCGGCATGCGCCGGGCTGTGGCAACTTTCCCAAGACTCTGTAAGCCATGTCTAGGAATGACTGGGAGAAGAGGCGGCACGGACGGTCACGGGGAGGAGGCCAGCGCCGGGCAAGGCAAGCTCTTCCCGGGGGCCTGGGGACACAGCTGCCGCTGAATCTGCCCTCGCAGCAGGAGGCAGCTCCGAGAGCCAGGGACCCGGACGCAGAGCCACCAGGGACCTGATCCGCTCGAGTGTGGACAGATCAGCACCATCTTTGCCTGCTCTCAAACGTTAAGATGCAGGACACCTAAAGGGCGATACTAGCGCAAAGGAGCTCCACCCCACCCACGAGAACGCAAGGCGGAGACAAGGGGCGATCGATCGCGCCTCCTGCCCTGCGCAGCGCCCAGAGGCCCAGCGCGCCGGGGACCCCAGTCTGCAGGGCGAGGCGGGGCGGCCAGGCCTGGGGGCGTCACACGAAGGAGCAGCCCGAACCCTACCCTCCTTGGCCTCACCTGAGGATCTGGCCGAGTCTACTGATCTTCCTTTGTACTTGTCAAACAGGCTGAGAGTCGAATACTTGCTTTTCCCATCCTTGCCCTTCGTTATTTGCCCCAAACGATCGGACATTGCGATGAAATGTCATCGAGTAAGGAAATTTTTCTCGGCACCGCTCCCGATCTGCCTTTGGAATGGAAAGGAGATCGACTGTTACTCACCAGAACCTGGGGTCCGAGAACCCAACCTGGGTCTCCCCAGGGGCTGCTTGGGCTGTCTCCAGGGAAGGCCCTACCATCCCCAGCACCCGCTCCCACCAGGGGGCGCTCTGCGGACGCCCACGACCCGGGCCACCCTGCCCCACCCTGGCGGCTGCGGGTTTACCGCGGAGGCGCGCCCCAGTCATGGCCACTCCGGGCGGGACACCGAACACTGCGGACCTGGAGTGCACGCACAGAACGCTAAACCAGAGGCAGCAGGTACACAACTCGGCCGTGCCATGGAGGTCAAACCAAGTCAGATCAAAGCCATGGAGGGACTCAGACACAGTTTTCCAGTAAACAGCCGGGGCACCCAGGCCTGTCATCCTAGCACTCCGGAGGCGGAGGCAGGTGAATTGCCACAAGTTAAGAACCCGTCTCAAATAATTGTTTTTAATTTTTAAAGATACAAGAAAGAAAGAAAGAGAGAAAGACAGAAAGAGAGAAAGACAGAAAGAAAGATTTTAAAGAAGAGCCCAATGTGGTGGCACACCTCTGTAATCCCAGCACTCAGGAGGCTGAGGCAGGAGGATGCCCGTGAATTTGAGGCCAGCCTGGGTGACATAAGTGAGTTTAAGGCCAGCCCACTATATAGTGAGACCCTGTTTCAAAAAACTAAGTAAATAAATAAATAAAAATAAACTCCAAAGGTGGAGAGGGCCCTGGAGGAGAGGTGGAATAGTGACTCTCATTGTTACGGTCCAGCCCAAGCTCCACCACCCCAGCAGGGGCCCTGGGCTTGTCTGGTGAACACCGAGGAGGTGGATAGGTTTCTGAAGTGGTTTGTCTGTTTTTGTCTTTTTGAGACAGGGTCTCAATAAGCAGTTCAGGCTGGCCTTGAATGCAACTTTGTACCCCAGGCTGGTCTCAAACTCACAATGATCCTCCTGCCTCAGCCTCCAGAGTGCTGGGATCACAGGCTTGCACCACCACACCCAGTGTCAATAGTGTTATTTATGGTCTCTATAGAGAGGTGCAAACAAAAAAACAAAACAAACAAAAAAAAAAACAAGACAGGTGCATGTCCTCACCCCCAGATTCTATGTCTCCTGCACTGCGGATCTCCCAGGATCCTGCATGCTGAGAGATGGTCGCAGGGTGCCGGGAATGTGCCAGGGGAACCCAAGGGCTCCCAGGTCCTGGTAGACAGAGCAGAGATCAAGGAGATGTGTGACCAGGACAGGGCCAGGGGCCTCCAAAGGGACCGCAGAGGCCCTGCCAACATGCCCCGGGGAGTCATTGCAGATTCTGGACCTCCAGGACTGTGCATTCATAAAGCTATGGAGTTTCAAACCACTGCCCGAGGGGCCGTGTGTCACAAACAGTAAAAAGGAGAGCTAGGGGTGGTGGTGCACGCCTGTCACCTCAGCCAGCACTCAGGAGGCTGAGGGAGGAGGATCGCAAGTCCCAGGAGCACAGCTGGAACAATTTACTGAGACCCTGCCTCAAAATATACAATTTTTAAAAAGCAGGAATGTAGCTCTGAGTGAGGGTCCGAGTTCCATCTCCAGTGTCGGGGGTGGGGGGGAGCCAAAGAAAATACTCGGTAACTGCACCAAGTGGCAGCAGGAAGCGGCACCCAGGTCACAGCAGGGCATGGGGACACACTCCCACCCACGCGTGTCCAGCACCATGACGACCGGTGCTGGGCAGCAGCGGCGCCTCCGAGGTCCCTGGCACAGCTCTCCCCGGCCGCTCAGCTCCAGCGTCTCCAAGTGACAACCAGCAGCGCCACCGTGCCGTCCCGGTGGCCCCTTCCCTCCGGCGTGCGGCTCGGAGGAGCCTGGGCAGGGGTCACCCAGTGCAGACGGCGCTCGAGCTCCTTCCTGGGGTGCTGCGGGCTGAGCCCCGGCCTTGCGCAGGTCGGCAAGCGCTCTCGGGCCACGCGCACGCCCAGCCCTCGTTCTTTACACGCGCAAAGCCAACGCAGTGGGAGAAGGGGAGCGTGCTCCACAGTCACCCTGGGCCGGCAGGCGGCGGTCACAGAGACGCAAACCGGTCACCGGAGGGAGCGCACGCGCCGTGAGACCTCGCGGCTACGCAGACCAGACACCCCAGTCTCGGGAGCGCAGGGCTCCTCCTGGACGAGACCGCGACACAGAACGCGCGAAGTAACAGACGGAGCGGAGGGAAGAGAGTGGATCTCTGGCGTCTGAGGGGCAGGGGGCACGGAAGTGCTGCGCACCAGTGCCGGACCCCAGGCCTGCGCCCTGCAACGTTCTTCATGTGTTTACCCCTCCTCGCCACACGTCGTAGCCCCTTCCCGTATGTATGTATGCACACACGTTTCTATTTTACATACACGTTCACTGTACGTGAGGATCACACTCCTCTCGTGGGAGATGGTGCGTGTACGTGGCATTTCTTCTATTTTGTTGATTTTTTTTTTGAGACAGGGTCTCACATGCATTTCAAGCTGGCCTTGAACTCACTTTAGCCTAGGCTGGCCTCAAACTTGAGGCAATCTTCCTGCCTCAGCCTTCCAGGTGCTGGGATGACAGGCGTGCACCACCATGCCTGGCTCTAGCCCTATTTCTTAAATCAAATGTCCCATCATTCTGAAACTCAAGGAGGACACGCTTGGTTTCTACAACTACCGCTAAGATACCTCCTTCAAGTTTGTTAGTCCCATTCCTGCCAGGGCACTGACCTACAATCTTTCTGACCCCACAGTGCCGGGCTGGGGGCAGGCAGACTAGACACAGGGCCGTGGGCGCAGCACCCCAGAACCAGCCGTGTCCACCCACCCCGGCTCTCCAGAAAACACAGCGGGCTAACACCAGCCCGTCCCCGGGGTTGGGAGTGTACCCAAGAGACCGCCTGCGACTGCTGCTTGAGCTGGGAGCCCCAGTGAGGCCAGCCCCCCGGGGACCAGTGGCACCGCCACCTTCAGGCCAGGTTGACCAGGGACACCGTGGCCCAGCGCCTGCATCCAACCTGCACGTGGGGTGCTTTTGGGGCGCCCCTTACCGGAGTGTACACCCAAGTGTACCCTGCCACACACCGCCGGCCTGTGTACACCTCAGCCTCGCATCTGCGAAGTGCGGGGCCTGGTCAAGAATTCTCAAGGAGCCAGGCTGGTGTGCACACCTGTGATGCCAGCACTCGGGAGGCTGAGGCAGGATCGTGGCGAGTTCAAGGCTAGTCTGGACTCCATGAAGAGACCCTGCCTCAAACAACTTAAATTAAAAAAAAAAAAAAAAAATCACTGGAGGAAGGAAGGTATCAGGCAGATAGGAAGGGGGCCCTAAATCCACACGAAGAGGGCGTGGTGGAGACAGGGGGTTCAGAACCAAGTCCAGGACTCTGGTGGGGAGCCTGGGCTCCCTGGAACAAAAGCCACTGGTCTCCTCCCCAGGCAACCTGACACCACAGCCGCTCCCGGACACCCCCACCGCTCTGTCCCCAGAACCTGTCTGTCCACACTGGCAGCAGCTTTGTAAAAAACTGGCTGTTAACCATTTCTGGGTAACAGGATTCCTGTCCGTCTCCCGGGGCTACCCGCCGGGGCGGGCACAGCCAGCATCGTAGGACAGCCCAGCACCCTCAGGAACCACGACCGTCATATGCGCCCCCGGCGCAGGGCAGCCCGCTCGCTCGGCACCGGTGCCCAGCCCTGCCGCGGGGGCCTGCAGCAGGCTCGGCGCTTCCGTGGGACGCGACAGGAAGCTCTGGCGCAATGTCCCTCGGCAGTGCGTGCTGGGCCAGGCAAGGCCACCTCGGACACCCGGCCGGGCCAGGGCCAATGCAGACAGAAAGAGGAAGGCCAGGGTCTGACAGTGCATGGGGGACGGTCAAGGACTCCAAAGACAAGCATTTCACTGACGCCTCGCCCGCCACAGCCGGATTTTCCTGCAGCGCAAATCCAGTTTCTCCAGGTCTCCCCATTCGAGCAGCGCTGGGTCGAAACCCCCAGCTGAGGCCAGCCATGGTGGCAAAAGCACTAGGGAGGCTGAGGCAGGAGGACTGCTGGGAGTTTGAGACCAGCCTGGGCTACACATCAAGACTATGTCTCAAACAAACAAATGAAGCCGCTGAGGACAGCTGGAATCCGTGGCGTCACCTGGACCCAAGAAGGAACTACTGTGTGGGGGCCTGAAGCACACTGGGCCACTGGGGGAGACCAGCATTCATACCCAGGCCCATGAGCAAGGAGGCCACATGGAGCACTCGGGAAGCTGAGGCAGGAGGAGCGCTGCGAGTTCCAGGCCAGCCTAGGCTACATTTTGAGACCCTGTCTCAAAAACCACAAAAAAAAATCAAGTAAGCGCCCCCCACGGTCGGGCACTTCAGTGTGCACCCGCACCTGCCTCCGCCTCCTTGCTCCGCGGACAGCGCCCAGCTCTTGCTCAGCTTCACTGCTGCCCCCTCCCAGGGTCACGTCGGACTCGCCAGCCTGCCCTTCTGCCCCGGAGCCCCAGTGTGCTCTCCCACCACACGGGCTGGGACACGAGGCCGGATCCTCCGGGGTTACGTGAGGACACAGTGTCCCGTGTCTGAGGCCCGCTGCGAGGACAAGGACAAGGGAGGGGACAGCAGGCGGCGACCCCGCCTCGCGCTCAGCAGGTGCTCCCCGCGCAGCTGGGCCCGGCCTCACTCAAACCCGCTCTCCCACACAGCCCGCCTGGCTGCACTCCACCGCCCCTCCCTTCTCCATGCGCCAAGACGGCGAGCAGGGCGTCTCTCCCTCCAAAAGCAGGGACCGAGCTGTGCGGCTCAGGCCCAAGGGCGACCCCTTCACTCGGCCGGACACTCCAGGCCCCAGCAAACCCTCCTCACCTAAGACTCACTGACTTTTTTTTGGCGGTACTGAAGCAGGGACTTCGAGCTGAGCGACGTGCCCCTCCCTTTACTCTGACGCAGGGTCTCAAGTCGCTGAGTTGCCCTGTTTGTGCTGGAACTTGTGATCCTACTGCCTCAGCCTCCCAGAGTGCAGGGATTACAGGCCTGCACCACCCCACCCCGCTTCTGTGACTTCATTTTAAGTGGCACCCAAGGGCCCCAGCGGCGAGGTGCCCACTTCTGGGCAACGAGTGCGGGTTTCCCCAAAATCCTGCACGGAAATGGCCACAGGCCACCCACAAAGGTGGTTGGTCCCGCTCTGGCTTGCTTTTCTGTAACACATTTGGTGACAAAAGGAATACAGGCTCGATAAAGAAAACCACACAGCCTAAAGAAATACACACAAAGCCTCAGAACCAGTGCCCAGATTCCTGCCCGCCTCCTCGCCAGCCCCGGCCACCCGGACACTGGGGCCACCAGCGCCACCAGCACCACCCTGCCGCACTGACAGTTATTGGGCCAGCTACTTCCTGCACGTTCACTTTCCATTTCCAAAGAGTTTGCCAATAAAGGTCACAAAACACCCTCCATAAATTCTGTTTTTGTTTTTGTTTTTGGTACTGGGAATCCAACTCAGGACCTCGCATTTGCCAAATGTTCGTGCAGCTGAGCTGTATCACCAGACCCCTTACAGAAATTTTGAACAGATTTGCTCTTTGTTTTAAAAAAAGAAATTGGCTAGGCGTGGTGGTGCACGCCTGTAATCCCAGCACTCGGAGGCTGAGGCAGGAGGATCGTTGCAAGTTCGAGACCAGCCTGGGCTCCAAAGTGAGCTCAAGGCCAGCCTGAACTACACAGGGAGACCCTGTCTCAAAACGACAGGAAAAAAAAAAAAAAAGAAAGAAAGAAAGAAAGAAATTGCTCTAAAGCACCCTTAGGGAGGGGGAGGCTGGGCCCAAGGCCAGGGCACACAGCGCCCCCAGTGCCCCCCTTGACACCCGCTCTCTGGGAGCTGACATCGCCGGCCGCCGTCAGCAGGACACTGCTTTCCTCACGGAGTGCTCGCCCCTCCTTCCCTTCCCTCAGAACACGCCGGCAGGGCAGGGACCATGTGTGTGCCTGTGGCCCGCCGCACTGTCCCCTGCACCAGTCGCTCCCTGACATGGGCCGAGGGCTTCTCTGGGCAGTCTCCCCGCATTGGACAAAAAGCTTTTTCCACATCCAAGACTCTGGGAGGAAAGGAGCCAGGGAAGCCGGGCGTGGTGGCACACACCCGTGATCCCAGCACTCGGGGGAGGCTGAGACAGGAGGATTGCTTTGAATTCGAAGGCCAGTCTG